CTAACCCTTTCTGTGCCAGAGGCTTGCTATACTACCGGTATCATCGGGAGACACTATTTCAGGGCAATCACCAAGCTCAGTGCACACAGCCCTTATATGATCCCCGCACCCCCTTTAACTGGTGAAAAACAGGGCAGCAAGTTCACAAGGGGTTAATAGATTAACTATAAATAAACGTAACACATCCTTATAGTAATGTCAGAGAGACATGAGGACTTACTGAGAGGGACGAGCTGTGGCTGTGCTTGATCTTGTTGTTATTTGGGTCACTATAGAGATTAGGAGGAGCCGAAACTGGACGTGCAAGTTACTCCCTCCTTAAAGGGACACTACAAACATAGGAAATAGCTTAGCTTACTGAAATGCTTTGTGTGAAGAGTGTGGCCCCCTTTTTTTTCCTGTTTTGCAAAAAGTAGAGATTTCAATAGAAATTGTCACTTTTATAATTTAACCTTGTTACACCCTATCCCCTTTCTCACCGCCTTCCGGGCTGTCAATCAGACAACAGGTCCTGTTACTTCCTGGTTTCTGCACAGTGTCCTTTTAAAATCTAAACCTGGATCTCACACCTCATGGCATACAGATCACAATAAACACAGCGTATCTTCACAAACAAAAAAAGTAGGCAACTTGGTACTAGGATTTTTGGATTTCACTATTCTGATGGGTACGGTATGAATAATTCTACCCGTCTCGATGGCTGATTCATCAATCAATGACTTCATTACAGAGACTCATTCTGGATTAAGGGGATATTTCATATGTAACTGATATAGACAATACACTTTTATTTCTGTTATAAATGAAAAATGTTAAGTAAATATAGTGTAATAAATATACACACTATACCCGTACCTCATCCCCGGCAGGCTCCATCACAGCTTGATGTGGGCAGAGGTTTATGGGTCATGTCTGCGCTCCTGTACAATAAATGAAAGGGAGCCTTCTGATTGGCTGAGATACTTTCTGATCTATTAAAGTAGACTCCCAGCATGGAAATGGAAAAATCAACATGTCTGGTATTTTACATTCCTTTGCATCTTTTTTATGTGAATTGCTTTTGACTTTATTGGAGTTGTCACACTGACACAGGGTTCCTTAGTCAAATTAGTGTTATTGGAAGGGGTTAACATGAACTAAGTGGCACTTAAAAGGTTAATAGCAGTTTGTTGGATAGAAATGCTCTTATACCACACTTCTCACATTCAGGATTATTTACTAAACTGAGAATTCAAAGTGAACTTCGTTTACTGGTTAATTCTTGGTGAGAGCATTGATCCCATGAATTAGTTGGTTAAAGAATACCGTACATTTTATTTCAAAGCAAAATAAAATCTGCAGGTCACAGAAACTTCCGAAAAATGTCACTGCCGTCCTAGACTCGATGCCCTGATGGGGTGTAGCTGATTGCAAGAATACGCTTCATTTTGTGGGTTTTTTTTTGCTTTGTTTGTTTTGTTAAATTTTCTGAGTCCTGCGTGACTTAGCATTGCAGCGAGAGTCCTTTAAAGGTAAATAAGTCTGTGTATTGGTTAATAGGTCCACTACCCCTGCGTCAGACTGCATTCCTTTCACCAAAACACAGGCTGGGAGAGGCTGCGGCCAATCAAAGGCACCGAGCGGAAACAAACGAAAGACTGGAATAAATTCAGGTTTGTTGAGAGTCACAGCTGGCCAATAGGCAGTCAGTACACATACCTTTCTTGGGAGCAGCATGGAAAACCCAATGATAAACAGTCTTTTATCCTGTGACAGTGGCTTTAGCTACATGAGAAACCAGGAAGTGTAATGCAGAGCCTGCAACAGAAGTCACCTTACTATGTGTATATTGACGAGTCTGTCTGCGGCCAGGAATTGATTCGATACATGTATCTCTGTATCTCAGGGCACCAGTGATTACTGTAACAGCTTGCAGGGAGGAGGGTCTCATTCTCTGCTTCTTGTAGACACACTAATCCATCTGGCCTTTTGTGTTCCGTTTGCAGGGGCCTGACATGCATGAAAAGGTGCCTTCAGCGGAGTCTCTTTGTCCAGCCAGCCAGCCTTGGGACACAGCAATCCAGTCCTTTGAGGGAAACAAGCGCTCGTAATGCTACATTGTCACATTAATGTAACAGACTGAAAGCCTCGGGTGGACGACACAGAGGAATGATGCAGAGGAGGCCTGGGACATTAAATGGATAGTAATGGCCAAATGTATACGCTGCAGCTAGCTATGTTAATTAGATTTGACCATAGTCGGGTACGCTGGGGATAAATCCCTAACTGGAAGCGGTAGCGCGAAAATATCTATGCGCAAAAGCAGCCTCTGTCCTCAGTGTCGAGGAGCAGAGCAGCGAGTTTTGGTTCGTAGTGGGCAGCCATGTTGGAGGATGCAGCGCAGAAGTGGCACCCAACACACGTTCAGGTTACAGTGTTGCAAGCCCGAGATCTCCACCCCAAGGGGAAACATGGCACCAACGATGCCTACACTATCATCCAGCTGGGCAAAGAGAAGTATTCCACCTCCGTGGTGGAGAAGTCTCTCAGCCCCATGTGGAAGGAAGAAGCATCATTTGAGCTGCCGGGGCTACTGGTGCAGGACAATCCGGAGCAGTACCAGCTGCAGCTTACAGTCATGCACCGCTCCTTGGTCGGCCTGGACAAGTTCCTGGGGCAAGTATGTATCAACCTAAACAGTATCTTCGAGAACAAGGAGAGACGAAAGACAGAGTAAGTAGATCTTTTTATTTATTTTTTATATGGTTATATCTAGCCATGGCTAATTTCTACAGCTGCTTTTAAGTTCTATTTTACAAATGTAAATGCAGGAAAAGTATCACACTACTTTATTTTATACCCCGATTAAACCTCAGCATGGAGTATTTATGTGACGAAGGACTCTGTCCTTTGATACAGGAGTTACAGTGAGCGAGGCTTCTGTCCTGTCCTACAGGAGTCACAGTGAGCGAGGCCTCTGTCCTGTCCTACAGGAGTTACAGTGAGCGAGGCCTCTGTGCTGTCCTACAGGAGTCACAGTGAGCGAGGCCTCTGTCCTGTCCTAAAGGAGTCACAGTGAGCGAGGCCTCTAACCTGTCCTACAGGAGTTACAGTGAGCGAGGCCTCTGTCCTGTCCTACAGGAGTCACAGTGAGCGAGGCCTCTGTCCTGTCCTACAGGAGTTACAGTGAGCGAGGCCTCTGTGCTGTCCTACAGGAGTCACAGTGAGCGAGGCCTCTGTCCTGTCCTAAAGGAGTCACAGTGAGCGAGGCCTCTAACCTGTCCTACAGGAGTTACAGTGAGCGAGGCCTCTGTCCTGTCCTACAGGAGTTACAGTGAGTGAGGCCTCTGTGCTGTCCTACAGGAGTCACAGTGAGCGAGGCCACTGTCCTGTCCTACAGGAGTCACAGTGAGCGAGGCCACTGTCCTGTCCTACAGGAGTCACAGTGAGCGAGGCCTCTGTCCTACAGGAGTCACAGTGAGCGAGGCCTCTGTCCTACAGGAGTCACAGTGAGCGAGGCCACTGTCCTGTCCTACAGGAGTTACAGTGAGCGAGGCCTCTGTCCTGTCCTACAGGAGTCACAGTGAGCGAGGCCTCTGTCCTGTCCTACAATAGTTACAGTGAGCGAGGCCTCTGTCCTGTCCTACAGGAGTTACAGTGAGCGAGGCCACTGTCCTGTCCTACAGGAGTCACAGTGAGCGAGGCCACTGTCCTGTCCTACAGGAGTCACAGTGAGCGAGGCCACTGTCCTGTCCTACAGGAGTCACAGTGAGCGAGGCCTCTGTCCTGTCCTACTGGAGTCACAGTGAGCGAGGCCACTGTCCTGTCCTACAGGAGTCACAGTGAGCGAGGCCTCTGTCCTGTCCTACAGGAGTCACAGTGAGCGAGGCCTCTGTCCTGTCCTACAGGAGTCACAGTGAGCGAGGCCTCTGTCCTGTCCTACAGGAGTCACAGTGAGCGAGGCCTCTGTCCTGTCCTACTGGAGTCACAGTGAGCGAGGCCACTGTCCTGTCCTACTGGAGTCACAGTGAGCGAGGCCTCTGTCCTGTCCTAGGAGTCACAGTGAGCGAGGCCTCTGTCCTGTCCTACAGGAGTCACAGTGAGCGAGGCCACTGTCCTGTCCTACAGGAGTCACAGTGAGCGAGGCCTCTGTCCTGTCCTACTGGAGTCACAGTGAGCGAGGCCACTGTCCTGTCCTACAGGAGTCACAGTGAGCGAGGCCTCTGTCCTGTCCTACTGGAGTCACAGTGAGCGAGGCCTCTGTCCTGTCCTACAGGAGTCACAGTGAGCGAGGCCTCTGTGCTGTCCTACAGGAGGCACAGTGAGCGAGGACTCTGTCCTGTCCTACAGGAGTCACACTGAGCGAGGCCTCTGTCCTGTCCTACAGGAGGCACAGTGAGCGAGGCCACTGTCCTGTCCTACAGGAGTCACAGTGAGCGAGGCCTCTGTCCTGTCCTACTGGAGTCACAGTGAGCGAGGCCACTGTCCTGTCCTACTGGAGTCACAGTGAGCGAGGCCTCTGTCCTGTCCTACTGGAGTCACAGTGAGCGAGGCCACTGTCCTGTCCTACAGGAGTCACAGTGAGCGAGGCCTCTGTCCTGTCCTACTGGAGTCACAGTGAGCGAGGCCTCTGTCCTGTCCTACAGGAGTCACAGTGAGCGAGGCCTCTGTCCTGTCCTACAGGAGTCACAGTGAGCGAGGCCACTGTCCTGTCCTACAGGAGTCACAGTGAGCGAGGCCACTGTCCTGTCCTACAGGAGTCACAGTGAGCGAGGCCACTGTCCTGTCCTACAGGAGTCACAGTGAGCCAGGCCACTGTCCTGTCCTACAGGAGTCACAGTGAGCGAGGCCACTGTCCTGTCCTACAGGAGTCACAGTGAGCGAGGCCTCTGTCCTGTCCTACAGGAGTCACAGTGAGCGAGGCCTCTGTCCTGTCCTACAGGAGTCACAGTGAGCGAGGCCTCTGTCCTGTCCTACAGGAGTCACAGTGAGCGAGGCCTCTGTCCTCTCCTACTGGAGTCACAGTGATCGAGGCCACTGTCCTCTCCTACTGGAGTCACAGTGATCGAGGCCACTGTCCTGTCCTACTGGAGTCACAGTGATTAAGGCCTCTGTAGGACTGAACGACTTTCTTGGATATAATTTATTATTAATGGTGACGTCTTTTTAGGATATAATTTGTTATTAATGACGTCTATTAAAAATATAAAATATATCGTTAGTGACTTCCTCCTATGATATAACATATTATCATGGAGACAAGATCCAGTAAAGTGCTGAAGCCCATTATTAGGTGCACATTTCTAGCGAGATCATCTAATCACACCTGTAATTGTTTAATAAAAGTGAGTGTGGCTGCCTTTGAAAGGAACACCGCCAATCCCTTTCTAGAATATAGTTCTCTGTAGAACAAGTGATTTAATGTGCGTGCAGCTTGCTGGAATCAGGGGAGGGGGACGCTGTTTGAGGGTTCTCCAGGCTTTTTGATGAAGTGTTTTTATGGGTAATGATTTCCAATTTTAATATATTTAATAGATTTCTCTTCCCAGCACAGCTGTACTCTCAGTACTATAGAGTCCTCGTAACCGTCACTTGTATTCCACTGAAAAACCTTATTTTCTACGTTCTGTGGAGGTTTCAATATTCTGACTTTTTAAAATGGTTCTCACACTTCGGAATATATCCAGATTCAAACTTATGTTTTATTGTGTATTTTGCTCTTTAAAGTAATGTATTACCTAAACAGTGATTTAAAGGGACACTATACTCAGTAGAACAACTACAGCTTAATGTATAGCATACAGCTTAATGTAGTTGTTCTGGTGAGTATAGCATGTTTCTGCAGGATTTTTTTATGTAAACACTGCCTTTTCAGAGAAAAGGCAATGTGTACAGCATAGGAACACCTCTAGTGGCAGTCACTAAGACGGCCATTAGAGTCTTCCTGGGTCAGTGTTGCATAATGTGCAGCGCTGCCATTCAGCTCTGAACATTCCCCATAGACACAGTGATTTAATGCATCTCCATAAGGCAATGCTGATTGGCACAGAGCAGAGTTTTGCAGCGCATGCACAATAGCCTCCCAATGCTTTCTTATAGTAAAGCATTGGATTGGTTGAGCTTGTCAAAATTTGATGATCTCAGCCAAGGAGGTGGAGCGGGGCCGGCCACGACGAGACCGCCTCAGAGCTGGAAAAAGTGAGTAAACTACCTTTTTAACTGGAGGCAAATGAGGCCAGGTACCTAAACTGTGTTTTACAACTGTAGTGTCAGGAATACATATCTGTATTCCTGACACTATAGTGTTCCTTTAATTTGAGGATTTTTCAAACCTGCCTATTAGGGCACAATTTTTTCAATTTAGCAAAATTCACTGTTAACCTCAGTAAACCAGTGAATTACCTACAGCCTGCTATAACTGTACATTTCTTGATTGTGATATAAATTCTCCTTAAAGTAGGCTAGTTGCTTTAATGTTATAAGTCAGACTGTGTTGGTGTTGTGTTACATGTCTAATGCAGTTTTATTTTTCTATAAACTGCTAAAATGATGTGTAAAATCAATAAATACTGGCTGAGCTGTGAATTAAACCCTTTTAAGACCTTTCAACTAAAAGTTCCAGATTATTAAACACACAGGTTTTCATGCCCAAATGTGCGACTGAAATAAATATTTAAAAAAAAAAGATTCCTAAATGTTATTTATTATTTATTCACCACCTTTCATTGTTGGGCTATTCAATAAACTGAGATTTATCAAACCTAATTCAAGGTTAAAATATCACAATTCAACACCGACCCTAATAGGCTTGGTGCTGACGGTTATAATAACCTTAATTTGAATCTTAAAAAAAAATGAACGCATAAGACAGGTATACCTGTCAAGTGTCCTGTATCTGGGGGGGACAAGCTCAGTTTGGGATCTATGTCCTTTTCTTTCCATTCTTACCGGCTGTCTGGAATCTGGTGGGATTGTCCTATTTCAGCTCCTTTGCCATCATCCCATCCCTTTGGTGGACACCAGGGAACTGTCCCCAGTAAACGCCCGTGTGCTATGCTAAGGTCAATAGAACCATGCTCTAAATGCTGTAATAAGTGAATTTATAACAAGACACGGAGGCTCATATTGTCCACCAATAGCAGCAAAGAATACAAACAGAATGAAAAAATAATGAACATACAGTAACATAGGCCCCTACCCGCTCAGGTCCCACTATAATAGGCAGCACTTCCCTTCCATTTCCCTCTTTCTTTGCTGCTCCGATACAAAGATAAGTACATGTCACATCTTCTCTCTGATTACTTGTTTTTTACCTGCTATTGATATTATTATTGATACCCTTGTATTACACTGTATAGGTTTATCTGTTATTGATTATTTTATTGTCTTCTGTTTTATTTATTAGAGATTTTTATTATTTGTGTTTTCTCTGCTTGCTTGATGCTACAAATCTGTGTGTTTTTTCTGTGTACCCAGGGTCCAGACCTCACCTGTCCTTGTGTTTTTCCTTACCTCTGTCTTGCTGTTACCTCTCCCTGTCCCTTGGCGCCCTTTTGCGCCCGTTCTCCGCTGTGTTCGGCTGTTTTTCGTGCACAAATTAAGCCCGTTCGGCTACACATGCTGTTCACTTTTTTCCCGGCAGATAGCACCTTCGCCTGTTTGCCGCGTTCGACTAAGTTTTGCACGAACTGCTCGTTCTGTTTTTTCCCCTCTTTCCATGAATTCGTTTATTTTCTACCAAACGTTCGGAATTTTCACAATATTTTGCCGCGAATCTTGCGAGATTGCCGGCGGCCATTTTCTGACTTTCTGTCTTCCTCCCTTCCTTGTGTGTGCATGTGCCACTGGTCTGGGCCCTGGTGAGATCGCTCTTATACCTATTGCTTCAGTTTTGGGTGACTAACCCATACTATTCTGATATCTAATTAGGGATTAGGTCCTGTTTATTCTCCATTATGCCTAAACCCAGACAACCTTCTGGATCCCCACCCTCTGGGGAGACTGATCCCCATTTAATTTGGGTGAGACCCCTGTCACCTCGGGCACTCCACCCACCCTGGTAGACAGAACCACCCACCCTGAAGGGGCACAATTCTTAGCGCTACAGTGCTCAGTAACAGACGCCATTATGGCAGCTATGGGGTCCATGTCATCTAACCTCTCCCATACTATTTCTCAAGCCCTATTGCCACGTCCTTTGGACGAGCATTTCTCAGGCTCCACGATGCCTCTATCGTGTCCTGCTGTGGACCCGCCGGGAGAGGCACCCAGAAAGGCTACCCATAAGTCCAAACATCCCTCTGCCTCCAAAACCTCTGACTGGCGTACCTATGGTCACCCCAGAAAGCGTGTCCCATCCACGCAAAAGAGCCTTTCCACGCCAGGCAGAACGGGCGCGGCTATGGAAATGTGCCAGAGCACAGTTAGAGAGCGACTCTGACTCAGATATCGGGTCAGGTGAGGAGACTAAGATTGAGTCGGACAGTGACTCTGATATGGATGCTGCAGATGTGGGCTTTGACCTCCTTCCCTCTGCTCAGGCAGAGACGTCCGGAGGTGATACAGGGACTAGGCAACCCGCGGCTGCGTGGTCCGCCCTCGTAGACCCGTTGGGTGTCCCACTCTTCGACCCGCATGACCTACACCATCCGAGGTCGGCAGAGTGGCTCCCGGCCGACCACGTTGCCACGTACCTTGAGAATTGGGTACCGCGCCCTCTTAGCAAAGTGGCACGTAACAAATTAAGGGCGGAGTGTCCCAGGCCTGTGGTGCCCAATAAAGTATGTGACACTCCTGAGGTAGACCCCAAAATGACTCAGTTCCTCACTAAACTGGGCTAGAATCTACCTTGAAATCTTGCTGGAAACAAGATAAACACCTGGATATTTTCGGTCCCCTGGCCAAATTGTTTGACTTGGCAGAAGACGCCAGAGTGGGGAACCGCATGGTTGACCCTGAAGACCTATGTGGTTGGGTCCAGAGAGCAATTTGTATTGCCGGGAGCGTTAACACCTCCCTCTCTATAGAACGGTGTAAAGCCATCTTATTTAAGATTGAACCAAAGCTGGCCAATCTTGCCCTCACAGAAGCTGGTAAGGACGCCTAAGGCTTACTCTATGGCGATTCCGTTATTAAAGACTTAGGGCGTTTCGTTGGGGCATTTACAGCCCTTGACAAGGCCCAAGCCTCCATGAGACAGGTATTCCAGGTGCGGGTCTCCACCAGGGCCGGCAGATTCAGGAGCCGTGTGTCCAGCCGTACCTACTTCCAATCCCATGGCACGGGACGAGGCTCCTTCGAGCAACGTGCTAACTACCAGGAGACTAATTCCCATGCCACTTTCTTCCTGTCACGCGGCCGCCAATGGCGATTAAGAGGTTTCCGGGGCAACTCCAGTTCCAGACGACCCAAGGGTGAGTTCCCACATACCTCGTATTTCTTCTCATGTTTGTGTAGGGGGCAGACTCCAAAAATTTTTCCCAGCTTGGTCACTAATTACCTCAGACCCTTGGGTGCTGACCACTGTTCGGGGTTTCCAGATAGAACTAGTGGGACACCTTGTACACATTCCCCCTCCTCGACCGATCTGCTTCTCATTCCGGGATCGCAGATTGATCGAAGAACTCTCCACCCTACTTGTCAAAGGAGCTATAAAACGGGCACCTCTCAACCCCGCAGGTGTCATAAGCAACATTTTCCTGGTGGAAAAGAAAGGGGGTCAAATGAGGCCCGTCATAAATCTGCGCTGTAACGGAACGGCAGTATTAAATCCACGAATTCCGCTGGTTCAGGAAGTAATCCACAGTCAAGCGCTGAAAAGCAAGGCAATATCCCAAATCTCCCAGTAACCGGACGAAACACAGTTCTGAGAGTCAACTGAGGTCTTTATTTTCAGCTCCACAATTTATACAATTCCCCATGCAAGGGGTTTCTTGAGTCCCATCCCAGGGGCATTCCCAGAGTTTCTCCCATCAGGCACTGCTGCACGAGAGGGATCCTCCCACAGGAATGTACCGTTAAATGGATTATCCCTCCGTGCAGCAGAACCAACAATTTATATTAAAATGCATAACTGTGGTAATATACGGTCTATTTGCACGAATGGACATTCGGTAGATAGCTGGGGTCTGAGCGCATCATTCGTGAGATTACCATTCAGATCCCAGCTAAAACAACCGAACGCCGCACGAAAAACACATTCATCAAAATACACGTTTAAATGACCGATTGCCTTTCAGGGAACAAAGTACCCAACGGCCCGGAACTCCCGAACGGCCTGGAAGCTCAGCGGTGTTCGTGCCGTCGAGTAGCCATTTTTAGTACCATGCGCTCGACGACCAAACACCGCTGAGGGAACAAAGGATCCAAGATGGCCGACCGCCGCATGGTCGGTAGTCGAATGGCGGCCACCTCGGAGAGCCTCTAATTACCGATTGCAAAATTGTTGCAATCGGTTAACAAGTGCCACACGCCTCTAAGTGTGTGGGCTACTACATGGGGTATTTTCGGTTCACGAACGGCCCGCAAAAGTGCCGTTCGTGAAACGAAAGAAAATACAATACATACAGCTATCTGCATTCGGCAGATAGCCCATATAGTAAATACATGTAAATTATAACCAGCATACATTCTATATAGTTAAGCCCATATCCCACAACCCTACAGGCAACCCTTAAAGGCACAGTCTCTTTATAGTGTCCAAGTGGCTATGTTTGCCACATGCGCCCCCTCAATTCCATGGTTCGGTACCGCCATTTCAAGATGGAGGGTATTCACCTGCTACGAGATCTTCTCCTACATGGAGACTGGTTAGCAAAACTAGATCTCAAAGATTCATACCTGACTGTACTGATTGCGGTGACATCCCAAGACCTCCTGCGCTTCCACTAGCGGCACGAGATTTGGCGATTTACTTACCTGCCCTTTGGCCTCTCCTCAGCACTGTGGTGCTTCACGAAACTGCTACAACCTGCGATGGCCTGGTTGCACAGTCGGGGGGTTCGTCTAATCATATACCTAGACGACATCCTTCTCATGGCTCAGGAGCGCTCCACTCTCCTTACACACCTACGGTTGGCCATAAACCTCCTTTTCCGCTTGGGATTCATTATCAACTGGGAAAAGTTGTGCCTGACCCCAGCCACTCGCATGGAATTCCTAGGGTTCCTCGTGGACTCGGGGGAGGAGACGCTGAGCCTGCCGATGACCAAGATTCCATCCATCCGGCCCCAGCTCACCTTGCAACAGCTTGCACGGCTCATCGGGCCTACTGGCCTCGTCTATACAAGCAGTATTTCCAGGCCCGCTCCACTACCGAGCGCTGCAGCGCCTGAAAATAGGGCCGGTGCATCCTACGTGTATCTGGTGTTCCTGGACAGCGAAACGAAGGACGAATTGCGATGGTGGATCCTCAACCTGTCCGCTTGGAACGGCAAAGCGATCTTCGGCTCGTGCCAGAATTCACCATTGACTCCGATGTGAGCCTTCATGGCTGGGGGGCCCATTGTGAGGGAGTTTCGACAAGAGGCCTCTGGTCGGAATCCGAATCCCAGCTACACATCAACGCGCTGGAGCTCCTGGCAGGCTCCTTCGCCATCTGCAGTTTCGCGAGGGACCGGGCCCTGGCATGCATCCGCCTCTATATGGACAATATCTCAGCAGTGAGATATGGCAACCACCTGGGCGTTACACAGTCTGCGGTGTTGGCCAGATTGGCGAAACACTTTTGGGAGTTTTGCCTAGAACAGAACCCGATGGTTTACGCAGAATCCTTACCTGGCCTGCACATCGTTCAAGCGGACTGGGGGTCACGATATCTTTTGGACACCAGCGACTGGAGATTGGACACGGACGTGTTCTCCAGTATATAATCTCTCTGGGGTCCCTTTACCATCGACCTCTTCACATCCCAGCTCAACACCCAACTGTCACGTTTCTTCAGCTGGAGGCCGAACCCGACAGCGGAAGCAGTAGATGCCTTCCTGCAAGACTGGAGCGGAGACCTCCTGTATGCTTTCCCCCCATTCTCCATGATTCCGTGCTCACTCCTGCAAACCCGGAGACACCGGGCCGAGTTGGTCATGGTGACTGTAACGGATCACCTGGCACCCCAACTGGGTACCTCCGTTGAAGGATGCTCCTAGCGCTTCTTGAGGACTCCAAACACTGCAGCAGACACCACAACCACCGAACCGGAGAAGCATATGAATGCTCTCAAGTATATGAATGCTGTAAGCACCAATCTCACAAACTACACGAATACTCCAACTCCTGAACAGGAAACACACAAATACTGGAAGCAGCTGAACAGGAAAAGCATACAATCAGCTTACACTCCTGGCAATCAGCATACAATCCAATTCCCCCAATAATAAGACGACACTTCGTTTTGAGGTCAAGCAGAACAGACAGAGCTGTGGGTTTATTGTTCTTATATACACATTAGTACCACCCACAGGGTTTTAAAAAACAACCAATAAACACGTACAATACACTGACACTGACACTCCCACACAAAATCCTCCCCTCTGCCTGTGATACAATTACCTTACACAATGGGTAATGTAATTATAACAGGCAGAATACAGTTTTTCCACATTATTCATAACTTGAAAAGTATGCATCACATTCACATAAAACGTACATTTTCAGAATCAGCATACTCCAAATACAAACATATATCAAACTCATCCACATTGGTCCAAAATATATGATCTATTGGTTCAAAATATAGATCGAAGTCCTTTGTGACCAAATGAAGCATGACTTTTCTGCCCAAAACCAGTTCCACAGAGTCTTCTATCCTGGAGATAATTGGGAAGTAATCCAATTATCTCCAAGGACAGAGACAAAACTCCATTAAGCACATGGCAGTAAAAAGACAGTAAAATACAATAAAATACACCAGGTTACATTTATCACATAGAACATACACATTTTACCTATCCCCAGATAGCTTAGATCTGAGCGCACATTATTACCGGATGGCGCTCATATCACGTACATACAGTTCAATCGCTATCTGGGGTAGCATGGCTTTAACAGTCTGCAGAAAGGCACGAATACGCTTTTCTGCAGGGAAAATAAAAGGTTTTAACTGCCGGGCCATAGTCTAAAGGGAGTAGGCGAGCAACCAGGCTCCTCCAGTGGACAGTGGTGAGGCTGGTTTCGCCACAATGACCCCCTTCTGGGAGATGCAGTCATGGTTCCCGACTACTGCCGTCATTCCACGAACTGCTGCTGGACCCGATTGGACGATGTCACCCCCTCCTGTTGGAGGGCTCCCTTCCGCTCCTGGCGTGGCGGATCTCCGGGGACCCTGGGAGATCCAGGTAGTTTCGGAAACAACTAAACGACTGTTGGCAGAAGCGTGGGGCTCCCGGCACTAGACGGGCATATGGGTCATCTTGGCGAGCTTGGGCTGGCTGGTGCCTGGCTAGGGACGCGGATCCCGTTTCGGCTCCTGTAACCATGGTCCTGCAATATCTGACTTCCCTCTTCGAAGCTGGGAAAGCTTACCGGACTATCAACCTCTACCGGTCTGCCATCTCTTCGACTCATCAAGGCTTTGACGGATGCCCCGCGGGGCAACACCCCTTAATGTGCAGACTCCTCAAGGGCTCTAGATTCTCCCGACCACCCAGGCCTCGCTACTCCATGACCTGGGATGTCTCCGTTGTGTTATCTTTTCTCTCATCCTGGCCCGCTAACTCCGCACTCTCCTTAAAATAATTATCAGCCAAGTTAGTTTGCCTGCTCTGCCTTGTCTCATGCAAGAGGGTCTCGGACGTCAGAGCTCTGGACTTTGACGTCAGGTCATACACCCCAGATGGGGTAACGTTCAACATCAGTCGACGAACAAAGACGGCTATCAAATTGGTGTCCCACCCGAGTTTCCCTACCTCTCCGCCACTGTGTCCAGTGGCTTGCCTACGCGAATATGAAGATCGCACCAAACTCCACCGTACCACTGTTTCTACACAGCTGTTTTTATCCTTTCGTCCTCCTTTCCACCCGGTACCTCCTTTCCACATTGTCACGCTGGGTGAAGTGGTTATTGTCTCAGGCGGGCATTAATACCATGGTCTTTGGCACCCATTCGGTCCGGGTGGCCTCGGCCTCTTCGATGATGACTGCAGGTGCGCGTCTGGAAGATCTCATGAGGACGGCCGATTTGTCAAGGGAATCTACTTTCCAGGAATTTTACTTTCGACTGGCCCCGCATACGTTTGCTGCAGTAGTGGACCAGCTTTAAACTTGCAATATGAGCCTCCGTGTCTTGTTATAAAATTGCATGATTTTGCTATTACATGACGAAAAGTCATGATTTTATTAAAGACACAGAGGCGAGTATTGTCCCACCAATGTTATATTTCTCATGTTATGTTTTTATTTCCCACCCAGTTTGTTGTATGTTTAGACGAGTTACATCGAATGGTTTGGTATGGTAAGTGGGGCCGTGTCGTAACGGGGTTGTTTATGTACCTTGACTTGTTTAATCACTCTGAATTGTGGGACTGTAGATATGTGGGGTTTTGCTTAGTCTGACCTTGAAACTGGTTGCAAGTATCGACTTAAACCTGTGGGCTCCTGTTCCTTTATGTTTTCACAGCCTGATCCGACAAGGTGGAATGCCATGCTTCAGCTTGTGAGGACTCCCCCCACTGATAGAGTTTGGTCCCACGATCATCCGGTTGTGCTTCCCTGTTGTTGAAGTGTTATCCTCTTCAGTTCTACGTTGCCTTCTCATTGGACATTATCACTGTTCTTGGTTATTGATGTTATTTTGTACAGTCGCATCTTCAGAAAGAGGGAAATGGAAGGGACCTGAGCGGGGAGGGGCCCTTGTTACTGTATGTTTATTATTTTTCATTCTGTTTGTATTCTTTGCTGCTATTGGTGGACAGTAAAGAAAGGGATATGCAATACTCGCCTCAGTGTCTTTAATAAAATCATGACTTTTCGTCATGTAATAGCAAAATCATGCAATTTCGCAGCCATTAATGGAGTCGGTGAGTGTGACTTGCATGTACCTTTTCAGATCAGTCTGCCCTTTTTTGGGCGATGTTATTAATATGGGTCACGTAACTAGCCCACCACTCTAGGAGTGTCTTGATTTACATAGTGCCCGGTGTCGGGAGGTAGGTATTTCTATGGTATCCTGCTTCTCAGACAGCAGAGTAAATTTCATTCCTCATCTCTTGTTTCTCAGAGAGGGGTATGTGAAGGGCGTGATTTCTACATGGAGTGTGCTGGCGATGCACCTTAACGGGGGTGACATGCCAGTGTCGTATAGTGCAGCATCAGTGCCGTAAATTGTGAGCTAGCGAGGGAGAGAGTGTTCGTGTTCATGTTCATTTCAGGGTACAAGTGAGGTTGCATTTAATATTAGAGTACACTGGGTGTTTGGTGTTTAAGAGGAGTTCGGATAAGGATAAAGTTTTTTTTTTCTCAGGTTTAGGCTTTGAAAGTTGGACTGAAGAAAGAGTTTTAGGATTTGGAAAGGGTTACATTTACGATTGGGGGAAAAGGGTTATTTGCTAAGTACTTACCCTCCTATGTGTTCTGTAGTCCAGTCACCCTCCTATGGTTGATAGCAGAGCTGCAGGAATAGGCCATGTGCATTATTCAGAGCCTCCCCTGCTCCTCCTGCAAGGTATTTCCTGTGTGAGAGGCTGTTAGTGGCAGATAGGCAGTGATCCCTTCCACTTCCTGTGGGAGAGGCAGTTACCCCTATCATTTCCTGTGTGAGAGGCTGTTAGTGGGCAGTGTACCCTTCCATTTCCTGTGCGAGAGGCTGTTAGTGGTCAGTGATCCCTTCCACTTCCTGTGCAAGAGGCTGTTAGTGGGCAGTGATCCCTTCCACTTCCTGTGTGAGAGGCTGCTAGTGGGCAGTGATCCCTTACACTTCCTGTGTCAGATGCTGTTGGTGGGCAGTGATCCCTTCCATTTCATGTGCGAGAGGCTGTTGGTGGGCAGTGATCCCTTCCACTTCCTGTGTCAGAGGCTGTTGGTGGGTAGTGAACCCTTCCATTTCCTGTGTCAGAGGCTGTCAGTGGGCAGTGATCACTTCCTGTGCGAGAGGCTGTTAGTGGGCAGTGATCCCTTCCATTTCCTGTGTCAGAGGCTGTCCGTGGGCAGTGATCACTTCCACTTCCTGTGTCAGAGGCTGTTAGTGGGCATATGGGAAGTGATTGGAGTAGCTGGGACAGCACTGAGTTTTTCACCCTCTATATTTGATCCTGCAGCTCTGTTATAGGGCACCGGCCACTTGAACTGGTCTGGGTACAGTGTCTCTATTGCCCTTTGTCCTACAATGCACACCATTGCAGCACTCATACATCCACTAGAGGCGCTTTTGAAATTTTACTGGACTGGACATTCAATGCTTTGCTATAGGGAGATCATAATGCGCTCACCGTGCAAGCACATTAGACCCCAACGCCGCATGGCATCTGAGGAGGCAGAGCACTGGAATGAAGTAAGTAAATAGAGTTTTTTTTTAACCCTTTATTGGCCAGGATGCGAGAGGGAGAGTTGAGGCAGAGGGAACTATAGTGTTAGGAACAAAAATTTGTATCCTAACACTGTACCTTTAAGTCACCCTGACAAGTCTACTCAATGACAGCGGTCTTGTCCTTTTAACTGTATAATCAATGACAGCAGTCTTGTCCTTTTAACTCTATAATGTAAAACATTGCAGTTTTTTTTAGAAACAGTAATGTTTACATTGCCGGGTTAAATCTACCCCTAGTGGCTGTTAGTATGACAGTCACTAGAGGTGCTCTTGTTCCACTGTCGGAGTAAAACTTGGTCACTTGATGCGAAAGCCCCAAATGGGAACAGTCACTCAGTGCTTCCCTCTGGAGAAGTTTGAAATCATGTGCGATGCTCGCCGCGCAAGCACATTAGGTCTCCAATGCTCCTTTTATAAGAAGTATGGATTGGACATTGGCGAGGCCTTCACGTCACAGGAGGCACATGAACAGCTTTGAGGGAGCCTCGGCCCTGGAAAAAGGTAAGTTTAAGAAACTTTAAAAAAAAAAATGTATTCTTTATTTTTGCTGTGCTTTGATTATACAGACACGTTTGCATTGCCTCAGCAACAAGTGCAAGCATAACAAATTACACAGTAGGATAGTTGCATGGCAAGCGATGATATAGCACATTTTATAATACGGGTAACCTGCTTAGTGATCACTATCCAACGGAGTGTAACACCCTGACCGGCTCCACAAGTAAAAGCTAAGCAAATGTCCAGAACATGAGAGGACATTTTAGAGGGACATAAAAACAATTGCAAACAATGCTCTCAATTAAAGTGGAGGGAGATAAGCAACAATAAAGCCAAATTTGAGCTCGGTCAAAGAAAAGCTCCACCAGAAGTCATCTGGGCTAGATGCGAGGGGAGACAGTGCTGGACATTCAGCTGCTCAGCCTATGCCTGTCAACGGCAGGGCACGTGCTCTTAGGATGGTGCAGTTCAGCAAGCGTGGTAACATAGGTGGTGGTGTGGTATTCTGGCGGTAGGGAAGTTCTCTTGCAGTCTCCAGCTTTCCACTCCTCGTCCCCTCCAGACCTGCCTTGGGTGTGCTCTACTCTGCTGCAGGCTTATATCCAGCTCTTTGGGAAGTTCGCCGGTGCAGTCTCTGTCTCTGTCGGCAAGCTCTGTGAGGGTCTAAAACCACGGGCCGGTTCTGAGGCCGTCGGCACATATTTTCAGGTGAGTGAGCTTGTGGCATTTGTGGAACAGGAATTTGTTGCTGAAGTCTCCGCTTCCACCAGAATTCTTCATATACAATGTCTAGTTTTGACAGAGCCCTGGACATTGCTCCCTGTTGATGAGCATACCATTTTGAGCGTACCGTTGGTGATGTCATTGCTGATTGTGGCATTACTGCCCGTCCCTGGAGGATTTGGTGAGCCATCAGGGTGTGGACCGGGATGACCTCCGCAGGTCCAAAGAGGGGGCATTGGGTGGTGCTGAATTGGGAGATCGGCCGCATCTCTCTTCCGCAGTGCTCGCAAGTCCTCTCTCTTAGTAGCTGAGAATACCATCAGGACAGCTTGAAATGACTGCAGGAAGCAACCCCAAGCCGGTCAATCGACACAGAATGTGAAGGTCTCTCACTGAGCCTCAGAAGAAGAGCCAAAGGCATAGGTAACTGGACTGCCTCCCAGTCAGCCCCCAACATACAGTACCAAGCAGAGAGCACTGCCGGAGCTCTGTGCTGTTGGGGACAGACACCAGAGAACTAAGGCCTCAGTTTTATATTTTTAGAGAAGCTTTTTAAATTATTTCAGATTTTTGGATAAACTTTTATGGGATTTTTTTTTTTAATATTCAAAAATATATCAGAATATTACAATATTTTTTACAAATATGAAATAATTGTAAAAGTTTCCACAAAAATATTAAAACACTTGAAAAAATTATTTTCATAAGATATTGAATTGAGGATTAAATTAGGATGGCGGGACAGGATCTCGAAATTGGGACTGTCTCACAAGAGACACTGAGCTGGACATGGATAGAACTTGCGTAACACAGTCTGGTGGCTCAATGTAAACTTTATCTCGTCCCTTTCTGGTATTCTGTGAGGGATGAAGCAGATCTGTGGCTACAGAGCAGGGAATGAGACACGCGCCCCACCACAAGCCCAGAAGTCCACATTCCTTTAACACAAGTCTTTATATGCTGATTCCTAAATTCCGAGGGTAGCGTGATGGCAAAAGTTTAATCTAAAAAGCAACAGAAGTTAAAAAAACTAAAAATAATTCAAGGGATTCTCTAGTGCCAGGAAAACAAACCCGTTTTCCTGGCACTAGAAAAACCTGGAGTGCCCCGACCCACGTCGCTGAAAGGGTTAAAACCCCTTCAGCTACTTACCTAAATCCAGTGCCTATGTCCTTTGGCGCTGGGTCAGGCTCCACTTATGCTCCTCCCCTGCAGACGTCTGCCGGCGGGAGAGACCTAATGCGCATGCGCGGGAATAGACCTCCACATAGGAAAGCATTATACATTGCTTTCCTATGGGGACTCCGGCGATGCTGGAGGTCCTCATGCATAGCGTGAGGACATCCAGCGTTGTTTAGATGACCAAAAGTTGTCTAAGAAGCCAGAAGTCCCTCTAGTGGCTGTCTGGTAGAACCATTAATATCCCTTAATATAAAATCCTTTATTTTTCTTTTCTTTAATTTGATGTTAAGGATTTAGTGACCAACTGTGTAAGCCAAATTATTTTATTTATTTATAAAATATTTTACCAGGAAAGATATATTGAGATTTCTCTCATTTTCAAAACATACACTGATACAATGTGTTACAATAAAATACAAAAACAATATTAATACACAATATATCCAAAATTTAACAGAACAAGTAGGAAATATATAATCAGCCATGACAGGCGCATTCTGTTTTGAGGTATGTAGAGAGGAGTCTCTTAAAGCGCTTTAGGCTTGGGGAAGATTTGGAGGTCGTTCCATAATTGTGGTGCGCTGTAGGAAAAGGAGGATCGAGCCACTTTCTTTTCGTATTGAGGTAGACTGAATAAAGTGTTGGTACTGGTCCTCTCTCACTCCAGGTTATAGGAGGTGGGAACAGCCGGGGAGAGCATTCTGCTCAGGTAGGGTGGGAGCTTCCTAGAAGTGCTCTTAAACACAAGGCTGGATGCCATTGATTGGCTCTCCGTGTAGAACCTGGGCAAGCCTGGTCCAAACTAAGACGCCAATCACTTCTACTCAATCTCTCTTTTATATGACTCTTCAGTGTCATGGGGGCAGAAGCCAAACTATAGAAAAACATTAACTCCAATGCGGGCTGATATCCAATGTTTTGTAATGCATGACAACTTATTTTAGGGGAAAGAAAAGACTGTGTTGAGTTCTGCGACCTGACGTTTGATGTGCAGCGAGGCTAAGGAGATATAAGCAGTGTTTTCATATTGCTGTTTGTGAAGAGCTTCTCTAACAGGCCGTACATTGTAGACAAAGTGCTATACTGGTAAACGATGACCTGGTCTGATCAGCTAGAATAACAGAGTTATCAGCTTGGTGGGAGTCTCATAGCTTGAGCCGGAGAGTGCAAATTGTTTTATCAATGGTAGGCGTCGTTTGACGCTTTTAGTATGCCAGCTTGCTGGCTCCTGTGGGGAATGCTGAAATCTGCTAAGAGAAAAAACACTTCACGTCTTTAAGAAGGCCTGAAAAAAATGAAAGAAAGAAAAATGTGTTTTATCTTCTACACAACAAACTGCGAGCACCACAAATCCAGAACATGCACCGTATCCTCTTTATATTGTTTGTTTCATTTCCAAGCCTTCCTTTAATACATTATTTTATTATATATATTCCAGCACCATAATCTGAATTCACCTGCTCTGTATAGCATATTGCATTATCTCTCTGTATCAATGGCAATCTGCTTATTGGCTCACTCATTGTTCTCACCACCTCACAAGTTAAATATAGACTGAAACCAGGGTTGGAATGATAGATTGTAAAAAAAGACTTTTAAATGCATTGAAAACATACCGTCGTGACTCTTTATAAAAAATGTAAACTGTATTCCCAACAGATCAATGTTATTTTTATCTTTCATGCAATAGACAATTTATAATAATTACCACTTGTTTTTTTTTTGTGTTTTTTTTTTTTTAATGTGGGTGCAACAATCTTGGATTTTTATCCCAACCTTTAAATGTCGTTCCTAACAATTTCATATGCTCCGAGTTACCAAGGAAGGAAAATCACAAGACTTCTAGATTAGTCAGAAATTGGTTTTAAAAAATAGTAAAACTCTATTTGATTTTAAAATGCGGTTATTAAAGTGCTAAATTGTAATGCAGATCCAATATCTGCCATTTATGTCAACCCTTTCAAGTTAGACAGACCCCAAATCAATGCCAAGCTTTTATTCCGTTTCTTACGATCTGAATGTATCTTTACATGAATCACTCGATATGGGTTTATATCTGTATTTATCTGGCCGTTGTTGGCTAATGTGAGTTTCAGAATCTTCCTGTAAACTGTAAGAAAGTTATGGGTCAAAGTGAGTTCTCTGTATTTCTTACAGATGGTTCAAACTTGAATCTAAACAAGGAAAAACCACGAAGGACAGAGGGCATCTTAAAGTCAGTATCCAGTTTATGAGGAATAATATGACTGCCAGTATGTTCGACCTCTCCATGAAGGATAAGACGCGATCTCCCTTTGCTAGGCTGAAAGACAGAATGAAAGGGAGGAAGCCAGATGGGTCTGTGTCCGACACATCATCAGCCATTATCCCTAGCACAAGTGGTCTGCACCACGGTCAGGAATCAAGCAGTATGGACATACAAGTCAAGAGCAAGCCGAAAAAGCCATTTCTCATAGGACCTCAGCGCCTGTCCTCTGCTCACTCCATGTCTGACTTGGCTGTTCCACAAGCCTTGCAATCGGGCAGCGGAGGACTTCCTGGTAAAGAGCCCCTTGATTCAATCAGCTCAGCAGATGAAGGTGGTGAGTTACCCCGTGGGTCTTTTAGTAATGAGACAGTTACATTGATGCAAGTGAACATTGAATACAAAAAGTCTAAAATTTTAAATATAGGCCTCAATTTAATAATTATGGTATATGTTATTCAAATGATTTAATATTATCGGATAAACTTTTAAAATATTAAAATACCATGTATATCATATATCAAAAAATAGATAAAATATTTTCCAAATATTATCATTTAAAATATTAAATCGAGTCCAAAATACGTTGATATTGTTATTATAAATATAATATATATTCTATATTTATAAATAGGGATTTCATATCATTTAAGATTGGCCTGTAGATCCTTACATATTGTTATATTTGTGCCTGTTAGAGTGATCCATCTAAGTGACAGGCATTAGGAAATGACAGTGACATTTTAGGTAAATATAGTCAAGTTTTTATTTTTTCTGAGCGGTAGAGGGAACGTTTCATCCTCAAATAATGTCTGTATGGGAATAGTACCACCTGGAATGACTTGGTATGACCCCTGTTGTTTTAACCCCTTAAGGACAAACTTCTGGAATAAAATGGAATCATGACATGTCACACATGTCATGTGTCCTTAAAGGGTTAAATAGACACATAACCTATATAAATTGTTACCGTGGGGGTATTAGACCGTCATGTCCTAATACAACAGAATGGGGGAGTGATAGCCATCAATGTGTTTCATTTTGTGCCCCGACTCATTGTTTCAGAGCAGAGAATAATGCCTGTAAAATACCTTCATTTATATCAATTTAATGGAGAATAGACTAGTTTCATGATTAGTGTCACAGGATGGTGGCCCTGATTTCCATCAGTTCCATACACCAGTGGGGTCTTTATGTGGTCGATATTCCAGTGGCTGCATTCGCCAGCACTGGAGTTGATTGGCAATGGCTGGTCAGGGGTGGACGTCATGAGAGTCACCCGTGCTAGGTGGCATGCATTCAGGGTATACAACGATATGGAATGGCAAAAGGGGTTTCTGAGTCAAAGCTGGTGGACGTTCAAGCTAATTATTGGAACGAGAGCATCATTCAACACAATTTATTTGTATGATATTTTCAAAAACAAATTCTTCATATGTCTTAGTGGGATTGGAATGTCGGGCTATACATTCTGTGAGTGATTGCAAGATGGGCCAGGGCTGACATCTCCACAAATTCCAACCTGCAAGGGTTAGTGATTAATTAAATGTATAAAGAGAATACCAACAAATAATGACTATTTTACCGAACCGTAACTTATATTTACAAAACATGCGCTCCCCAATGACAATATTCTTTTATGATAGAGTTTCTTTTCCTTATACATTATTGAAGCAATTTATACGTTGTGTCTCCTACTTTCTGACTCTGGATTCATACAGATCTTATTGTCCACGTTCTAGGAAACCTCAAATCACCTCACCGGAGGACAATGAGTGCTGACACCTCTCAAACCACCCCTGAGACGGCTGCACCCGCTGAGGGAGAACGGACCACAAGAGCACCTGAACCTGCCCCGAGTGCCATACCTGTACTCCCCCAGAAATTTGCCACACTGCCCAGGCAATGGGCCCCCTACGAAGACCATAGCGAGCTACGTGGAAGCCATACAGCTGGAGGCACATCTTTGGGCTTGTTCTCCAAATCATCAGAAGGAAAGAAAGACGGCAAAAAAAAGGACAAAGTCAGTCTTTTCGACAGAGTAACTGGTAAAAAAGAAGGAAAAAAGTTTGAGAGGCAGAACCAAGAGGACTGGGGATCAGAAAACAGTGTTAATCAACCTCAGGCTTCTGGATATGAGTCCACAAATCCATTTTCCACCAACTTCAGGATGGGAAGTCAGGTTCCAGAACAACGGTAATAAATCTTCTGTTTTTCTCACTTGACTTTTTTTCTGTGCAAACTCAGTGAGTCTGGGATATGATGGCAGATTGTGGGGAGTAACTCGGCTACCGGTAATAAACAAAGAGGTCAATACTAAAGCAATGAAGACTATTACACATACTTTAAAAGAAAATGCACTGCATGTTGGGGAATGTAGAGACTTTGCTCCCAGCAATGGACAAAGGCAGCAGAAAGGACATACAATGCACCGTCCTTTAAACCTGGGGGGGCATAGTAGACATTGGGAAATCTTCCAATTCTTTTACTTTGGCCCACATATCAAGCATTTAGAATTCACTAAAGTGAATGTTTTAGAAAGTATTTCTTCAGTATCAAACACTCTGGAACCCATTTAAAAATACAGATGTCTTTTGTACTTGTGATATTATTTAAGAGTTGTATTGCTTTCCATAGATGTGACCTAACAACCCATTTGTAGCTGTGCCCCCAGATGACACGGTGCCCCCTGTATGTTTTACTGGCGCAGTCTCTGTGCCGAGACAGGCAGCTCTAGTCGACTAATCAGCTGATGTGAAAATTTCTCAATTTACAGCCAGCGACAGGTGTGAAACTAGAAAGAGTTTAATTTGAATGTGTCGTTAGAATCTCTAGCGAGGAGCCAGGAAAGTTATTAGCAAGGTCATCGTAGACATGGAATGGGTAATTAGGCAGACCCTGGTAGATGTAGTTTAGGTAATTAAGGAAGTCCATGGCAGTGGACACTGGGCTTGCTATAAATAGTGTAAAAGTCAGAATAAAAAGTAAATTAGAGAAGAATGACTCTCATTTATCTACTCTATGTTGGTGCTGAATGTTCCCCTGGGGGGGTAGTTAAAAGTAGGTTAACATAAAATTGAGAGATCGTGTGATCCTGAACACCTACCAAGCACACCTGTGTGATTTTATTTAATCTTTCATTATACTATATAACTGGCTGAATATACATTATTATATCCCAGCAGGCTCCTATGTAAAAGCTGAAACTGGCACGGACAAAGATCAGGTTCCTGCAGTTCCACACGGAATGTTTCATATAGAAGACCTCTGTAATACATGCGGCAGCCCAGATATAGTGCCAGGAGAGTCCCTCTATAAATGTGCTCTTAGTGTATTAACACAGCTACCTATTCACACCTTCCATGGCTAATATCCGGGGCTACCTGCTCCCATGATCCTTGGTCAGCAGTTAATATATATGCTGAGGTATTGCTGTCTGCCATTGCAATCCTTATTCTATCATAAATTGGCGTTAATCAGTAACCATTAACTGTGGATAACTGACAAGTGTTTTAGGTCAACTATTTTAGTTCGAGAAGTTTTCTTAATTAGATACTTTGGCTTACAGTTTCTGAAATGTACCAAAATAACTTTAGTTTAATGAAGCAGTTTTGGTGTGTAGATTGTTCCCCTGCAGCCTCACTTATCAATTCTCTGCCATTTAGGAGCTAAATCACTTTGTTTCTGTTTATGCAGCCCTAGTCACACCTCCCCGGCTGTGACTGACACAGTCTGCATGAAAACAAAATGGTTTCATTTTCAATCATATCTTGCATAACATTGTTTTAATTTCAGGCATTTTCATATCCTGCTCTGTTAATCGAACTTAAATCACACGCAGGAGCCTGCTGTAGACTGTAGCAGGCAATTGACAGAGGAGGTAAAAATATTCTAAATTAAACATACTGCGCTATATTTGAAGCTAAAATAATTAGACTCTTTATTGGGAGTTGTACAGCGAGGTTGTGTGTCTCAGCCAGGGGAGGTATGGTTCCTAAATTACAGTGAATTAAGCAGTGAGACTGCAGGGGCATGATCTATACACCAAAACTGCTTCATTAAGCTAAAATAATTTTAGTGCCTATAGTGTACCTCTTAAATTAACATTTCATATAAAACAATATTTAAAAAGTTTTTTTTGTTAATTAAGTAGTGGCCTATTTGTAATCCAGGTGTTCAGTTTCAGGCCCTGCGACGGGTATGAGGTGGGCTATCTCTGCTGTGTGTTTCCCTCTCAGCTATGCAGCCTACAGATTGCCGAATTATTGCCCATATGAAGGGAAGAACGTGAAGTGTCAAAAGAGCTTTGCATAAATGCGGTGGCTTAATGTGGCTATCCCGTAGGATGTCATTGTTTTACACCTCTGGGCTTCATCGATTGTGTGTCTCTTTGCTCTAGTAGAGTGGTTAAGGGGGATGAGGTGGGGTGACCTATACGATTCCCGGTAGGGTGTGCTAGTGTGAGCGTGTATCAAAAACATCGACATATCTACATTTATTAACTGGTCTTTGAAAACACTGCACTTCACCTTTTAGTAAATAAGCCGTTAAGGGCAACTTATTCAGATGAAGTGAAGTGCGCATGTGCTGAGTGAATTTAAAGAGTGCAGTTGCTATGGCAATTAATGAGAAAACTAGCCTTTCTGTCCAATTTGGAAAATGGTATTCGCTCACTAGTGGTCGGTACCAATGGAGGCAGGAGAACGTTCTGTGCAGATCCGGAAAACAGAAGAGGACCTTGGAAACCTGTCAGGATTTTGTAGTAACAATGCTTAATGTCTGTGTTTATTTACCACGAAACATAGAGTTAAAAATGAAATGGCTAATTTATGTAAGAATTTAACCAAATTAGATGTTATTGAGATATTAAATCAGTCTATAACTTTATTGGGTTTTATTACAGTAAATCACTGTGTCAATTATTCACTAAACAGAGATTGAAAATTGTATTATGAAATGCTGATTGGTAAAACTCTCCTACTCTGACACTCAGATTCGTAACATTTATCCTAAGTTAGGTCTAATTTTAAAACTGAAGGTGCCCTTCTGCTGTAGAGTTTACTTGAATTCATTTTATTCAGAATCCGTTTATCGAACAGGAAAAAATGACTAGAGGGTTCCGTTAAGTGATGTTCTATCAGCTGCGATAGATGGCAAATATTCTTAAGCGATCTAAACATTGATATTTATTTTGTCTCCTGTGCACAGCTCACATTTACGGCTTTCAGGCTCGGAAGCACAAATGGAGAGTAACATGCGAGGAGCGGAGCTCTACCAAAGCCATGGAAAACACGTAAGTTCTGTCTAATACGAGATTATGAATTCTGGTTCTCTTGTCTGTATGTGTCTGATTTATTTGCATCTGACCACTGTCAGTGCTACGAAATGTGGCTTTATGTATAAATATTACCTGTTATTAATATTGATACTTTACAGAGCGTTCAGAGAAGGGCTACTAAACTGGTTCATGGATTGCAGGATAAAACTTACCAGGAAAGGTTAAAGGATCTTAACATGTATAGCTTGGAGGAAAGACGAAACAGGGGTATATGACAGAAAAATTTAAATACATAAAAGGAATGAACACAGTAAAGGAGTAGACTTTATTTAAAAGAATAATAACTACCACAAGAGGAGGACATAGTCTTAAATTAGAGGGACAAAGGTTTAAAAATAATATCAGGAAGTATTACTTTATTGAGAGGGTAGTGGATGCATGGAATAGCCTTCCAGCTGAAGTGGTAGAAGTTAACACAGTAAAGGAGTTTAATCATGTGTGGGATAGGCATAAGGCTATCCTAACTATAAGATAAGGCCAGGGACTAATGAAAGTATTTAGAAAATTGGGCAGACTAGATGGGCCGAATGGTTCTTATCTGCTGTCACATTCTATGTTTCTATGTTTTTAATATGTTCTCGTAGATTGACACAAATAGTTTTTCCTCATTTCTGCTTTCTTAACTTAAACTGCAGAATTCAGTAGAGTAGAAGGATTTATAACTGGACTACAAGTCCCAGAAGCCCCTGCTCTGAGCATAAGTGAGGGTGTGCACAGACAAAGAGAACTTTCAATGCTGCAAATTAACACTTGCCGTGCTGGGTTAAACATGGCCAACAAGACCAGAATGAGAGTGAGCATCTTTATTTCTCTTTCGAATTTTGGTTGTTTTCCATGTAATTCTAATGGATTTTTCATACTTTGCATTAAAAGATAAATGTGCCAATTCCTGCCTGGAGGAACTCTTTAATATCTGAAAATTCACAGAATGTGCTCCATTATCTTCTGCAATTATTGATATATTGAGCACAGTGTCTGGATATTCTGAACACAAATGTCAAATCTATCTAACCATTCGTCCGTCTGTCTGTGTGTGTATATAATGTAAATCAGAAATACATTGTGTGCTCACTATGTCAACACCCAGCTTCTGTTAAAGGCACAGTCACCCTTTCCCTGGGCTCTATTGTTTTTGGAACAGGTGTAGGAGACACATTCTTGGAGCCGTAGTGGAGACTCCCGGTTCTGGAAGGAGCAATATTTGGCTCATGTCTATCTATCTTTTCTAAAATGTCAGTGTGCACCCCAGATGGGAGAGATGCCATGGATACAGCTTTATTTTTACATTTTGTTCCAAGATGAGAGCTGCCATGTAGCTGAGGACAAACCGGAACATATACCATATATGCTATTATATTGTATATCAGGACAGGGAGTAAACTATGTGTTTTTTAGGTCTGGAGGAATAAGGAATAAAAACATATTCAAACAAAGACAATAATTACTTTATAGTTTGTTTTGACTAGGTTAGAGCTTCGACTCCCATTCATATTCTATTCAAACTATTTTGTTGTCTGTTTTGTGTCTGTTGACCCCAAATACTGAATCTTCACCTATTTGTATTTTTTTGGTTTTTTTTTTTTTGCTCTCACCTGCAAATCACGATGGCAGCTCACTTAATACAGATAATATACAGTCACAGATTTTGGAGACCTGTCCTGTCTCCACTGCCGATCAAAAAACAATCCTAAGTACTGTGTATGAAAAGCTTGTAATAATGATTATTCCCACTAACCTGTTACGTGTACACTGTTACCGGCACAAAATGATTACAAATATATTTGCTTGTTGGTGAAACTTACTCCCTCACTATTTGATTATTACATCAATAAATATTAGCAAAATGAAAAAGTTAAGTTTTATGCACTGTATTAACATGTGTGTTCCTCTGTTATCCATATGATGTTTAAAGTGAAATGCGTACATTTGTTTATTTATCCTATAAGTGTAGAGAAAATATTGACGGGCTGGCTAACGTGTCTTACGGCTAAAATTGGCATTTGATGCCAGCACGCAATCAGCTAAGCTCAGGAGGATCAGGGAGAACTTAGATTTAGTGATTCCATTTTTCATTTTTTTATAGTGTGTCTTACTTTTTGGGTGGCAGACCCCACCAGATCCAGTGTTTTATGAAAACATTGTTTGTTGATTGGAGTGACCCTTTAGCTCACAATGTGCCAGCAGAGGACGTAGAACAATATTTATTCCATATAGTGAAGATTTGTCTGAAACGTTCACATTAAATCTCTGACAATCTGCCGTATTATCTTCCATCCTCTTTACATACCAGGACGTCTGGCGGAGTCAAACAAGTACGAGCATGCGGCAACTTGAAGAGAATAGATATATTTTTTGTTAATAATCAAAATCTAGCTGGCAGCAGAAGCCTGCAAGCAGATAAGCGAGAACATTTTGTTTATATATACAATGTAAATGCAGGAATGTGTGAATTCTGATACAGAATGTGTCTCCGTGTAAACAACTATACGGAACACCAATCTCCGGGCGTTGCTTTAAAATATAATGACATTGTTAAATAAAAATTACTGTCCGTATCACCACTTCACAATTAGGGGTGAAAATCCCTCCTAAATTGTGGCTGTCTGACTCCATGAATCTTCATCAAATAAATACCACAATAAGTGGTAATAAACAAACAATTTACTGTTAATGTGTATGTGACGAGAGCAATCTCGCCACATTGCATTGGAGGAGCCTGGTTGCCTGCCTGCTCCCTTTAGACTGTGGACCGGACTTTTAAAATACTTTATTTTACGGACGGCCACCCAGAAGAGAAGTGTGCTGCTGGTTAACCTATTGATCCCAATTAGAACGTTGCGGTTAACCGCAGACACTTCTCAATTAAAACCGAATACAGGGTGGTCGCCGTTCGTATGTCGACCACGAGGCGGCGGCCATTTTAACCATGTGAAAGACCAGCAGTGTTCGACGGTTATTTCATGGAACTGAAAACGGACACTTTTTCAACCGAACACCGCTGAAGCCGTCGACCTCCCTTCTCAATCGACAGAAGTGTGCGAACACCGGCCGTTCGGGAGATGTAAAGGAACGAATGGACTTACCCCAGATAGCCTTCCCATGGAGTCAATCGCATACCGAAGAACTGTAATAGACTTTGACTCCATGGCGATTGAACTGTACGTATGGGATCTGAGCGCTATTCGCCAATAATATGCACTCAGATCCAGGCTATCTGGGCATGTGTTATACGAATGTAATATGTTCGGCAGTTATAAAGTTATGTATTTTTATGTGTTTTGTGACTTGTATTTAAAATGGCGATTTGCCTCTGCTCTGGGAGATAATTGAATTACTTCTCAATTATCTCCCGAGCAGAGGGGAGGAAACTGTGATGCATGCTGGGAATATTAGTGGGGTTGTATGTCTGAAATGTCCCCATGTCCTTCTGCTATTCCAGTCTCCCATTTGGTCCCCTAGGGGAGTGTCCACCAAGTGGGAGACCTGCATAAATACGGGCAGGTAGCCCACAGTAAACTCAGTTCGTGTTTTACCCTCAAAGCGGAGCTTGGTCTCGTTATTGGGGGGATTTTATTACCGGCGACTAGAGACTGCTCATTGGAATTATTTGCCGCTTGGAAGATATTGGCGTTCGGCTAATATTGGCAGTTCGTGTATTTGGAGCTCGTGAAGGGAAGGAGCCATACAGGTGCCGTTCGGGAGTTTGGAGTGTTCCCTGGCTGGCGGTTCGCATGGTTATACTGCATACGCTACCAGACCACATTATTGCGAACGGGGAGCATTCACTAAATGGCGGTTTGTACATTTATTACTGAAGGTACCGTAACATGTGCGTTCAGATCCCAGCTATCTGGGGATATGTGACATGTATGGATTTTATGTATTAAATGTAACACTGTATGTTTTAATGTATTTTACTGTCTTTGTGTACCCACGTGTATAATGGAGTTTTGGCTCTGTCCTGGGAGATAATTTGATTACTTCCCAATTATCTCCAGGATAGAGGGAGGGAAATTAGGATGCATTGTGGGGATGTTTTACTTCTGTGTGTCTGAATGTGATACATGTCTGTCTGTGTTACAGTCTTCCATCTGGTCCCCTAGGGGAGTGTCCACCAGCTGGGAGACCTGCATAAATACTGGGCAGGTAGCCCTCAACACGGAGCTCTGTCTCGTCTTTGGGGGGATTTACTGTATGCTGTTAGAGACTGATTGCCAGGAGTGGGAGCCGCTTGGGTGCTTTTCCTATTCGTCTGCTAGCAGCTATTCGTGAGGTTCCAGTTCGGGAGTTTGGAGTGCTATTTTGTATGCAGTTCGGGAGTTTGGAGCATTCCCTTGTATTCAGTTCGGGAGTTTGGAGCATTCCCTTGTATGCAGTTCAGGAGTTTGGAGCATTCCCTTGTATTCAGTTTGGGGAGTTTGGTGTTTTGCAGTAGCTGTGCCTGTATCTCTGGAAGGGGAAGATCTACTAAACGGTGCTTTAATCTTTTTATGCCTGGGGGTGCCGCTAAAGTGTATTTATATTGTAGATGGTGTTTTGACCGCAGAGACACGGTTTATTTAGCCATTTAGAAATGAATTGAGGCAGTGAGCTTACAATCAGACATTGTACATGGCATGAGAGCGCATACATCATCGTCTGCCGGGACTCAGGATTCAGGAAAACACATCTACGGAAAACGTACAAAACACAAATAATTGAAGTTGCCATGGTGATATAAAGACCTGTAATGGACTTCCGTGATAAAACGAATAACGTGATTGTGAAGCATAAGAGGGGTGCACTCAGGGACCTGTTTAGGAAATGAGGGTAGGTTATTACCAAATGTGAGCCCCCGGAGGAAACTGCTTTCTGTGCTACACATGTGTGACACAGTCTGTCTGTTAATATAATGTTGATCGATAGTCACACAGATCAGGCAGAAGCCATTTCATCCAATTTGTTAGATTTTTTTTGTATTTTTGGGACGGGACAGCCATAAAACGAGGAACCTGCCTGGTGTCATTAAAGGAAGGTTGGCTGTCATTCACTTCTATTTCATAAAGTGTTTGTATACAGAGATCGTTTTTTAAATTCAGCAAAATAACAGTTTTTTGTTTACCGTCTGCTGCATAGATCTGGCATTTTTCTCTTCCCTAGATTCCTTATTCCACATTCTAAATTGGTCTGCGTTTAGAACATTCCGCACTATATTTTACTTGCTGTAATCTCATCTACAGTAAGCACCAATTAGGTAAATAAATGTGTCCTTGTGCTCTATCAGTGTGAATCATCTCCTTTAATTGGCCCAGCCTCTCACGGAAATGACTGCCACCTGCGTTGGTAATGACGGGATGTGTAAGTACGCAGAAGGCCGTGAGAGGGAGGTTGTGCGGGCACACCAGGCATTCAACTGCTATCTGCCTGCTTAGTATGGCAACGCCATCTTAACATGCCCCCATGCCATCTCCAAAAAAACAACACAGACTTCTTCTAATTAGTGAAGATTTAGCTCGTCTCTCCTCCTCCTCACTTGCTCTCTGTGTTCCCAGGTGGAGATAACTGCTCTGATTTAGAGAACAGGATATATTTCATACTCACATAATTTACACCTTCATTTGAAGGCTCACCAATTTCCTTTTTATTTTAAAATGAGGGAATAAACATGGGAAATAGGGCTATATTTACCCCCGAGGGCTGGAGGCAGTTTCTGTTTGACGTTGTGCTTGGACTACAAGTCCAATAACTCTGAGCTACTCGGATAATGAGGAACGTGGTTCTCAAGATGAGATTAATCTGTGAAAACCTGTTTAGAATATCAGGAAGGACTTTGCACTCATTGATATTTAATCTTCAAAAGGGTTCGTATGTGAAGCATCTTGGCCACAAAGGAATATTTTAAATCTAAGCGTTGTTTTTTCATAAATCCATTAAAAGAGAGCAGCAACATTCATACTAACTCTTAAATGATTGGGTCAATGTTACATGAGCTATTCGGAACTGTTTCCATCTCTGTGGAGCTCTGTTATCTTGTCAGATGCTTCTTTAGTAAAAAAAGAATGAAACACCCATCACTCTCAGTTAAGCTTTTAGCAAACCTCCATGAACTTCCTTAATCCGAAATCCATCATGCACTGCTGGACGAGAGGGATACTCCCACTAGAAAAAACAGTTAAGTGGATTATCGCTCCGTGCAGCAGAACTGACATTTCACATTAAAATACATAAATTTTACATCATTCACTTTATTTAAACGAATGGACGTTAGGTAGATAGCTGGGGTCTGAGCGCACAGTTCGTGAAAGTACCGCTCAGATCCCAGCATAACTAACCGAACGCCGCACGAAACACACATTATTTTCTAGTTGCATTCAAAATACCGATTGACGTAGGGGAATAAACTACCGAATGACTGGGGCTCTCGAACGGCCTGGAAGTCCAGCGGTATTCGTGCCGTCGAGTAGCCGATTTTAGTTCCAGGCGCTTGACCACCAAATACCGCTGGGCTAACAAAGGATCCAAGATGGCCGACCGCCGCGTGGTCGGTAGCCGAACGGCAGCCACCCTGAATCTCTATAATTACCGAGGGAAACAATGTTGCAATATTTAATGGGAGCCACACGACCTCCTGTGTGTGGTCTCCCATTCGGTAGTTTGTTCGTTTAACGAACAGTGTTGAAATTCACTGTTCGTGAAACTATTGTAGGAATGCTGGTGGCTTTATGCCACCAGCGTACGAATGCTCTTGTTCAGCTAAAATACAGTAATAGGTATACGCTTGGTTCTTCAGGCTTAAAGCAACAGCAATACATTAGTACCAATACAGTCTTAAGTGGCTAGTTTTGCCACAGCTTGATGATTCTGAACACTTTTAAGAGTTCATTGTAGAATTCATCAAAATATTTGTGGTGAATGCTTGTATAGAAGCATTCACCACACCGAGACCCTGTGACTGAACCAATACAGCCGACATCAAGTTTCCTATTAACCATCTACGAATATACTCATTTAAATGAAATGCAGCAGTTATTATGAAACTCACGTCTCCGTGTATGTTATGATGTACTCTCTTTCTATAAAATCTTACTGTCTTTGTTTTGTTTTTTTGTTCGATAGGAGCAGAATCCTTTTAGTGGAGGTGCCAGTGTCTTCAGTCACTTGACTCGTGGTGAAGTGGAACGGGAGTTACTCAAGCACAAAGAGCTTTTGAAGAAGAAAGATTTTCACATTCGAGAGTTGGAGAATTACATTGATGACTTGTTGGTGCGGGTAATGGAGGAAACCCCCAGCATTCTGCGTGTGCCATATGTGCCTTCCAGGAAAGCTGGAAAATTCACCCAGAACTAGAGTCTCTGATCACACTGGTATCACCAATGCCATTTGCAGCATAGGACTGGTTTTGCTGTATCTCCTGCCAAAGTGGTCCCAACCGATGGAAGGATGTGAGGCCTTCTCAGATACCTTGGTACTTCCAAATGTCTTTCCATGAGTGGAATAATAATGAGCCACTCCTTGTTCAGATGTGTTGGCGAGCGGAAGGGATATGGTTCGAATGTTTAAAGAATAGTGCTAGGAACAATGTGATCATTTAGTTATCTGATCAGTCCAAATATGGTGCTTCAGACAACTCATTGACTTAATATCAAATCTCCTGGCCTGAGATTTCTCTTCCGAAGTGTTCATTGTGTTATTTAATAGTGTTATTGTTCCCTTTTTTTCCCAGGTGAAGATTTCTATGCACTATATATTATTAGTCACGTCTTTTAATAGAGATGATTTTATTTCCAAAATTCCAACTATTGATGATACTATCCTCCAGAGATCTTCACCATATGCATGAAGGAAAATTAGCAAAATTTCTACATTACTGCAATCATATTTCAGACACCTGATTACTTCTAACATGTTAACATACTGGACATTTATTTATTTTAACATATAAGTGAACAAAAACTGCTAGAAGACATGTACGTCTTTGTTCACCCCATTATGTGGGGATACTCTTACCATCTTCGGGTGTTAAGTGGTGGTTTGTCCTCTTTGAGCTTTGTGTGAGTAGCATGTCAGGATGAGATTCTCCACAAGACTTTGTATCTCATTTGTTGCCACTAGACGAGCATCTCTGAGGAGGTTTAGATTGTTAGCTCATAGGTAACAGGGCTTTCAAATTTACACTAGAGACCTATCTAGCTGTAAACTACTCTAGCTAAATAAAGTAAGCAGAATTAAAAGAAGATATTGGAAAACATAAAAATAAACTGACAGGCATGTCCACAGGTGATTAAATTGTCGAGAATTCTTAATGAATTTAACATTTTAAGCCAGAATTGAAGTTGGCTGCCCAGAGGGATCAACATTGGATCCAGTTCTTTAAGCTGGATATTCTAGGTTGGGAACTCCTGATGTACTTGACCTTAAAAAAAACTTTGTTGAAAGTCCATTGGCAGCCACATTGAGAAAAGGAAATGAGTAAAGAGTCCTTCACTCATTATCATAAACCAATGCCCTTCCAGCCAGGGATATTGGAATAGAGGGCACCAGGTATAGACTGGTGGGTTGGAAAACCTTTGGTGCTGACAAGCTGCTCCCTGGGGGGTTATTTTCCAAAGCCATTAGTTTATAGAAATCAGCTTGGTGAGGGATTTATAGGTTTGTTCAAGATTAAAAAAAGCGTTAAAAAAAGTCAAATGAAGTCCTCGTACTCAGTCCTTCATGGAGAGCGTTAGTATAGATCGACTCCCGATGGAAGGATGGAAGGCTTTCTCATACGCCCAGCAATCAACTTTGCTGTAAATGTGTGTTTTAAGAAACATATTATCAAAAAAAAAAAAAGCTTTAAAAACAGAGATAAATTCCCCTATATTCCATTCCCAAGGAAATATTGCTGATATATGTCTGACAAATTCTTCTCATAACCAGCACTAGAGGCATACAGCGTGTATCGTCCAATCCTACGCTCCTCTATAGCAAGCAATGAATCTTGATGCATTGCACGCACACTCAGAGTGTAGTCTGACACTGGGTGTCAAATCAATTCAATTATTGAATCCATGTTCGGCCATGAGACATGGATTCTGTAAAATGTATATAGTGTCATTTCGCAGAATCAGAATGAAATCCCCTTTCCACAAAAAGTAATCATTGTATCTAATCAAATCTTTCCTGTGTGTTCACACTTACACACACGTACTTACACACAGACGCACACACTCACACACGCACACACACGTATGTACACACAGACGCACGCACTCACACACACACATACGTATGTACACACAGAGGCACGCACTCACACACGTACGCACACACAGACGCACTCACACACACACGTACTCACACACGTACATACACACAGACACACACTCACACACGTACATACACACAGACGCATGCACTCACACACGCACACACACGTACTTACACACAGACGCGCACACACACGTACTTACACACAGATGCACACACTCACACACGTATGCACACACAGACGCATGCACTCACACACACACGTACTTACATACAGACGCACGCACTCACACACACACACTCACACGTACGTACACAGACGCACGTACTCACACACTCACACACACGCATTTACACACAGACACACGTACTTACACACAGACACACGCACTCACACACACACATACGTACACACAGACACACGCACTAACACACACGTACTTACACACAGACGCACGCACTCACACACACACGTACTCATGCAATTAATCTTCTTACATCTCGTTCTCCTTAAACTTTGCTAGATCCTCACCCACAACCTTTGTAGTCAATGTGAAATCAGCTACTGACTTGGAAACATATAATTTAATCGTATACAGATATTCTGTTTTATTTATACAACGTGAGTGTATAGAACTATAAACAATACTGTATAAGGCAGGCTTTTAGAGTCTGGTCAGTGGGTCCCCTTGATGGTCTTTGTGTCCACACTAACTATGCTACCTCCTGTTTTTTCTTGACCAATTTAATGTCGTACTTACTCTCCGTTACATCACGTGGTTTCTTGAACCTTAGCAGGAAATATTCATAGAGCGGTACGCATTGCATGGGTCATACATTTTCTCCCCAAATTATTAGTAGATAAAACCAGATTTTCTAGACAAGATGTGATCAACCTTGAGCTCATTTATCATAATTATATGATGGCCATTACTACTATCCAATAAAAGTTATCAGGCAGTTAGATATCTCAGTTCTGGACCAGATATCGGAGATATCGCTCCACGTGTCTTTTTCCCTGTTGATTGCTTCCTGTTTGTTATGCACTTCTGATTGTATCAGTGTTAATATGTGCCACGATATGTCAAATGAGCAAATCTGATCTTCCACATATAAAGCCACGTGTCCAAAATATCTCACAATGAAATCCTTCTAGTAGTGAAGATGTATGGACAAATGTTTTGTTTCATGGATTTAAATTAGCACCAAGGTCAACGTGATGGGATAATGTGACTGTGAGCAAAACAAAATAATGTATTTTTAAACAAATTTAAGCAGTTGTAAACTGCACAAATTATTAAAAAAAAACAACTGTAGGTAGTGAGCAAACGTGACGTTAGCTGAGTTGTTAACAGCTTTCCTGAATTTTCAAAGTTGTTACATTTGGTGATATGTATCAAAGAAGAGTGACAGTTAAATTCTGTCATTATTCTGATTATATTTATTAAAATGATCTAAAAAGTGCTGTTTATCTTCACAGTACATTCCACCAGTTTTCACAGAAATCGCAATTTCAGAACTTTTCTGTTGGAAAAAGTGGAATAAAAATTCACAAATCTGCTTTATCGGTGATGGTAAAATAAATGGTGCATATTCAAAGATGACATTTAGGGTACAAAAAAAAGAGGGAAAAAACCTAACAAGTTTAATAAATTGTGTCAATAATTTGCTGGATATTACACTGAAAGTGTTGCCGACACTTTGATAAATTTCCCCCACAATCTGCAATAATCTCCGTTCTGAGACTGCTTTACCTGCCACTGTACATTGTACTGGTCGAATGGCTAGCAAATGCACAGATTTCTAAAAAAAAATTTGTGTGTTGCTTGACCTCATCTCTAGGTATAAACATAAATAATTATATTACAGTAATTATTGTTGAATGGCAGGGGAGGACTCCTAATTATAACTGTTCCTAGAATTCTGTAGTTTTATTCTATAAACCAATATATCAGTTTGTAGACAGATTTTGGTTGAATGAGTTGTTTTATTTATTAAATCAGTGATGTCTATAAATATATAAACACAGACGCATACGGTGCTTCTACTTTAATTGTTATGCATATATGAGACTTCACAGCTTTCAGGCCTGTGCTGCTCACTGTAACCAAAAATGATTGATTTCACTCGCAGTAACAGCCACTTACTGTATAGAAAGTAACTTATCTGGAGACCAGCTCCAAACTGGAGAACTGAATGCACAGTGGGCTTGGATCCTATATATTAGATTCAGAGTTCTGTAAGGTCATACCTACAGCCAATACTGATCTTTGCGGTTTTAATATCCCCGTATCGTGCATTAATAATAATGTTTCCCCTTTCCATGTTGTATCACTCATGCAATAGATCATTGTGTCCCAAATAAAACACGTTGCATCCCGTCTTCATGGTACATTATATGCATGGAGTGGGGGGCGAGGGGGGCAGTGGCAATAGCTACGAATTGGGGACCAGTGGTGCTATGTTTGTACTTCGTGACTCATATGCCAGTGTCATACCATTAAAGGCCAGAGAGGGAAAATGAAATCAAAGCTGGGAATACCATTTAAACTTTGTATTTCCTAACAATGTTTAGACCGAATGCTTCAAACTGCGTTCTAAGTTGGCTCAGACCTGGTTACCTTTAGACAGGTGTTCTGTGTGCTTTAGGAGATGGGGAATTATTGAATCATGACACCCTTTCTGAAATGTGGGAAAATTGATTGTCTTTAGAGAGAAAATGAAGATTCTCTTTGGGATTATGACTTTTTGGATGACAAATGTATAAAAGTAAGGAAAGTGAACAGGTTTTTGGAATCACAATAGAAATGTCTATTGGAGAAAAACATTCAGAATCGGCTTTGCACTTTTTGGGATTGGTTGTGTGATGAGAATAGTGAGACCTTCCATTCACAGTGAGATACCACCTTCAGAACTCCCAGGATCCGCTGATGTGATCCTGAATGTCCTCATACTCCCTATGTTCTTTACAATTTCCATGGTTATAAAGAACTTCTCCAATATATTTATTTTTATTAAAACATATCTGGAATGAATCTTAATTTACAGTGCATGAGAGAGGGCGCATAATTGTCAATTACAATTAATTTGTGTTAATTATGTTTAATAGTCATGCAGGTGACTTTGAATCCTTGTGGGAGACAGAAATTGAGAAATGAGACTTTAAGGCTGGGATGATAATACATTAGGGAATCCCTTTTGCTGACAAGTTTTGTAACATGGCCCTTGTCTGCTAAGGACAGGTGACAGGTGGACACTAACCACGTAGCCATCTGCACCTCTCCCTGGCAACGAATGGGGTCTGTCTGTATTACGGCCTGGTACAGAGTACTTGGTGCCATGGTAAAGTAACCAGGGATTTCGGAATTCACTGCTTTTCAAGTATGTACTTCCAATATTCCAAGCACTATTAAACGAGAAATACATTTATTTTCGGTTGCCACTTAATTATTAAGAAATCATGAATTTCAATCGAGCTCTATAAATAAATAATAATTTTGTATATATATTCTCTCTAATAGGAATTAAAGAACACTCCACTGCCCACGTACAAAATAAATAAATACAAAGCGTTATTTAGTAGATATACTATGCATGCATTTAATTATGTATTCATTTACTGGGGTTATATCTAAAGATGTAGATCTCCTGTCTGCAACCTTTGCAAGCCCTTCTAACTCCACCCAGACTTTCTGTGGCTGTCCAATCACAGACTCCCAATGCAGCTCAATGAGAAGTCTTTGCAAGGCAGGTGCTCTGGGCAGTTGCTGCCTCTTGGGTTTATCTCCACTGAGTTAAACAAACCAGGAAGTAACATGACCGGTTATCTGATTGACAGCCAGGGGGGTGTAACAAGGTCCAATTATAAAAGTGACAATTTCTATTGAAATTTGTACTTTTTGTAAAATGTAAAAAGAGGACACACTCTTTGAGCTGACGTGTTTTAGTCCCGAAGTGTCCCTTTAATGCTTTGTGCTATATGAAATGTTAGTCCAGTAAAAATTATCAAAGTTCAGGTGTGCTGAATTCGACTGGCCCGTGTCTAAATCAAACCCTTCCCCATCCTAGCTTGATATACAAGCTGGCAGAGGCTTCAATGGAATGTTAATGGTAAGGGGAAATCATTCGATGTATAATAAACGGACTCCTGATTTCACATTTCATATTGTGTGTGTGTGTGTGTATATATATACTTATTTACTGACATCTGCACCAATAGGTAGGTAGGTTGATAGGCAGATGAGTAAGTAGATACATATAGATATCCCCAGTGTACCCAAACAATATGACGATTACATCGAAAATCTTTTTCTTTTTTTCTTTTTTTTTTTTTAACTTACTGGAAAAAGTATTGTAAAATAACATGCGCAGTGCCAATATATACAAATCGATATGATGTTACAGAATTTTTTGAAAAATGTTTAACAAAAACAGTTTATCTTGTGAATCTCTCCTGTTTGTGAATTTGATGGCAAAGTGTTGGCTTTTTGTATCTTTGTGGATATGTGTGCTTAATGCAAATGGAACTGTGCTGACAATGAAACCCCTGACTCTGATGATGTCATACAATCTGATGATGTCAGCCTGGATGGAATGCACACCAAGCTGCCTATCAATCAAGCAGACTGCCCCACTAAGGGCACATCATGCAGGGAGCTCTGTTCCATCTCTCTCCGCAGGGTCCTAGTGTCCTGAGTGTAGCAGACACAATTCTAATGATCTGCTCATGTTTTCAAGGCCAGTTCCCTGGTGTCCCCAAAAGCGGGACACCTGGAAACAAAGTCAGGACAGTGGGACAGAACCCTGCAATTAGGACTCTTCAGAGGCCTGTAATGTTCATGTCTGCTTTAAAAGTGCTAATCTAATTCAAATGTATTGACGATTAACGAATGATTACTATCACCACTTTGCCAAAGCTAAGGCTAGATTTAATGCTTCATGGAAGCCACCACCAAATCGGGACACATGGAGTACCCCGCCCACTTGGTGGGATATTGAATGTGTAAAAGTTTAACCTTCGTAACTCAGAGAGGAAACGTCTCTCGTGGTTAATGTATTTTGTGTCTTAACGTTCACTGAATGTCATGGAGTGAGTAATGCATTTAAATTAATATTATTATTTATGAATTTATTTACCAAACAGAAATCCTATGGTTTGACAAAGACATGACAAAATCTATGTTAAAATTACTGGGTATGAAAAAACTTTCCAACTCCTAAACCTGTTTTTTATATAAGAATGTGTATGTTGTTCTATTTATACAGAACTGCCAGCTGTATGAATTGGTTAACAGTACGAGTATGAAGACTTTACAACTCCCGGTCTGCAGAGTCTTACGTTGAATGAACCATGTTCCTCTGCATTTCTAACACGCTATAGCTCATGCAGATATAGATGTCAAGCTCCTCTACCACAAGTGGCCTTTCACAATGTTCTCATGGTGGAACATAGGGTGGAGCTGACGATAACATGGATAACATACTGTATATCTCTCTATATATCAGCAAATGGTAGTTAGATTTGTGCACGGTGAAAAAATTTGGTTCCGCCGAATTTGTCAGAAAAAAAATAAATGAGTTTGGATAGTCTGAAATTCATTCATAGGGTGTTTCATTCAGAACACAATATTTATTCACACTTCATCTGTGAATAAAACCAACATTTATTAACCATCAATCCTCTCTTATTTGAGCACCATGGACAGTACTCTGAAATACGAATCAAATGAAATGGTTCGTCCATTGTCTGTTTTGTGATTTGACAATTCGGATTTATAATTCACATTTTGTTTGAAGCTGAATTCTAGTTAGAGTCCAAGTTATTGCCTAGTGGTGATAATTTGTCATCAGTGGACGTTCTAGTCCAGAGTCAAATCTGTGTTATGGGAAATTATAACCAGAAAGCCAATAATAGAATGACACATTAATTCATGCACACAATCCCCTCTCCCCCGTGCATTCCGATACAGTATTCACTGCTACAGCATTTTATTTCTGTAGATAATACAGATTGTATACTATTTTATCATTCACTAGATCATTAATTCTGCAGGGAGCGAACCTGGAGCAATAGTAACTGATCAGGGGCTGCAAAGACATTAAACTGCTAGAATTTGCACTAAAACCAGTAAAACTCTACTAGAGACTCCATCCAGTGATTGCTGTAATCTTGTATCAGCTGCATGTATCAATCCATGAATTATGTGTGTTTGTGGGAATATGGCTTTCCGTTTATTTGTCACACTTGTACGATGTAAGAATGTCATTTAAGCATGTCAGATCACTGGCTTTTAATAAATACTTTGGAATCTGGCACATTGTGTATTTTATTTGTTTGTTAACTTTAACTAACTATTATAATGCTGGCCCCATTGTGCAGCACTACGGAATTTGCTGGCGCTTTACAAATAATAAAATAATAATAATAATTAAAGAGCTTTAACAACAAATAGGCGCTCCATAGGTAACATTACATTCCTTTATGTGTGTTTGTATATGTGTATGTGTTTTTGTGTATCTATATATATAAAAATGATTTTCTCACCCCTCCTGGGTGGTATGTTTATTCCTCATTCTCGGGTCCTCTACCAGAGGCCTGGGAGTTTGAATGTTCTACGCAGTATCTTAGCAGTTCCTAGAACTGCACTCTTCTGGACAGCGATGTCAGATGTCCCACCTTGAATCTGTTGAAGCCGCTCCCCTAACTTGGGACTCACAGCCCCGAGGGCTCCTATCACAACTGGGACTACTACTGCCTTCACTTTCCACATCCTTTCTAGTTCTTCTTTCAGTCCTTGGTATTTGTCCACCTTCTCATGTTCCTTCTTCCTGATGTCACTGGGTATTGCCACATCCACCACGACTGCCGTCTTTTGTTCGTCTACCACCACGATGTCTGGTTGGCCAGCCCTTGCTTGTCTGTATGGATCTTGAAGTCCCACAGAATCTTAGCCCTGTCATTCTCAACTACCCTTTGTGGATTTAGGCAGGTCCAATCCTTATCCTGTGCAGATGTTTCGGTACACAATCCTAGCAACTTGGTTGTGTCTCTCCGTGTATGCTCTTCCTGCTAAAATCTTGAATCCAGCTACAGAGGCCTGGTGTGGTAGACTCCAGCTTCTATTGATCTGGTGCTGAGTGCCTGCTCCTGTGCTCCAGTGCTGTCTATCAGTCCTGCCTTTTCCAACCTTGACACTCATCAGGCCTTCTTTCTGGCAGGTGTACAGTCTCTGGGTGCTGGATTTCGGGTGGAATCCTCCATTCACGGTGAGTAGTTTCCTGTTCTTGACATCCATTGTGACCAGTTCTTCTCTTGGCCAGGTTATTATTCCAGCTGGGTACCTGATGACCGGTAGGGCATATGCGTTGATGGCTTGGATCTTGTTCTTGCCATTGAGCTGGGACTTCAGGACCTGTCTGACTCTTTGGAGGTACTTGGATGTTGCTATCCTCCTTGCCTCTTCCTCATGGTTGCCATGCATTTGTGGTACCCCCAGGTACTTGTAGCTGTTCTCTACATCTTCTATTTGGCCTTCTGGAACTTCAACTCCTTCTGTCCTGATCATCTTCCCTCTTTTTGCTATCATCCACCTGCACTTTTCTAATCCGAACGACATTCCGATGTACTTGCTGTATATCCTAGTTAGGTGGATCAGTGAGTCAGTGTCTCGCTCATTCTTGGCATACAGCTTGATGTCGTCCATGTAGAGTAGGTGGCTGATGGTGGTTCCACTCTTGAACCTGTATCTGTATCCACTCTTCTTGATGATCTGGCTAAGGGGGTTGAGGCCTATGCCCATCGAGTTCTTGATGAAGGCTCTCATTGTCTTGCTGACCTTGTAGAGAGCCAAACATTCTAGTATCCATAAGTGTGGCATTGTGTCATATGCTTTCTTGTAGTCAATCCAGGCCGTACACAGATTGGTCTGTCTGGTCTTGTAATCCCCTGTGAATGCTTGGTCTACCAATAGTTGGCGTTTTGATCCTCTGGTGTTGTTTCCAATCCCCTTCTGAGTATTGCTCATATATACATACAGTGTAGATTGGATTAGACCTGATGAAAAGAGAAAAACTCTTGAAAACTTGTCTTTTAAATATTGTGTTAGTCCAATATAAAAGGTATAATTGCATACTGCAATACTCTGGGATTTTGGCATCTTGTCTACGGGACTAATATGGCTAATTCAATCTACACTATATAAATATATATATCTTAAATAAAGGAAACCCTTGAAACAAGGGGGTCCCAGAGTGTAGCTCTAATGACACAGAGGTACCCTTATCTAGAGAATAGCTAGAGTGGGTAAATGATAATAAGCCAGGTACGAGGGGAAGTAGGGGAAGGGGAAGGTAGAGGAAGCTGGTATACTGGAAGGTGGGTATAGCGAATCCCAACAGGAAATCCCAAAAGGGGCTTTATAGGTATCACCCCCACCCTCTTGAGACTCAAAAAGAGTACAGAAGAACACTCCTACCCATAGAACGAGGCCCCCCCCCCCACCCACACACACATACAATAGTGAAGAGGTTCCAGATGTAGGTAGTCAGTAGATCTAAGGTAACACGGTGGCACAAAAGGCAATAATAACTAGCCCTAATGGTGACTTCTGTAGTCTGTCTCTGTCCTATAGCCAGCGTTCCAGCTACGTAGTGGAGGGAGTTGTTAGTTCCTGGATCAAGGACCAGGGGAGGGCAGAGGCTAACTGTGCTCTACCCAGTTGCCAGCGCTTCTGCTGGGTTAACTGGTGGGGATTCAGCTCTTCAGCTGGGGGGACCAATGCATAGTCCTGCCCAGTAGCTGCTTCTCCCCTTCATCACTGATCCCGCCCGGCGGCTGAGGACGCCTAATGCACATTGAAAAATGCTTTCCAATGCTTTCCTATGGGGAATTGAGCTAATATCTCATTGCAAATGCTGGTGAGATAACTCAGTGGGCTAACGCATCATCAGAAGAATCTGTTCAACCCTTGGGTCGCAGGTTCAAATCCTGGCAGGGTTGACTCAGCCATTCATCCTTCCTAAGTATATAAAATGAGTACCATTAAATTGGGTTATAGTAACAACCCCTGGATGTTGGGCAGTTGTACTTGAAAACCAGAGTAATCTGAATGTACCTTTCCTGGTTAAATACTTTGTATTATTATACTGCAATACTCTGGGATTTTTATAAATATAAAAGGTATCACTGCATACTGCAATACACTGGGATCTTGGCATCCTGTCTACTGGACTAATACGGCTAAACCAATCTACACTATATATATATATAAATCTCATAAATGGGGTGCTGTTGGGGGCCAATTTATACAATACACAAGATCCAGCACACTCACCTATCCACTAAACAACAACTTCAATGTTGACGGATGTTAAGACACCCTCAGCTTAAATGAGTGAAACCGCCGTTTAGGTGATCTTCCCCCTTTAATACACCGGTTCTGCTCCTGTGGTCCGCCAAACTCCCGAACCGAGTGTAAGGGAATACTTCAAACTCCCGAACAAAGAATCAGCTGAATTCCTTCTCCACTAGAATAGGCGAAATAACACTTCCAAGTAGCAATCCCCCCAAACACGAGACCAAGCTCCGTTTTGAGGATAAAACAGGAATCTGGTTTAATGAGGGCTACCTGCCCGGTATTTATGCAGGTCTCCCACCTGGCGGACACTCTCCTAGGGGACCAGATGGGAGACTGGGACAATTAAAGTACAGTGGCAAATCACAGTGGCTCAGACATAAACACTCCCCTTTGTACAGGTAAATCCCTCCTCTCTATCCTGGAGATAATTGGGAAGAAATCCAATTATCTCCAGGGATAGAGGCAAATCGCCATTTTACATAGCACAATAAAAACACATAAAAATCAATAACTATAAAACTACCGAATGCTTTTAGTTCGAGTAACGTATCCCCAGATAGCCTGGGTCTGAGCGCACATAACTACCGAATAACGCTCAGACCCAATGCACACAGTTCAATCGCCATGGAGTCAAAGTCTTTCACACTGTTCTTTCGGTATATGATTGACTCCATGGGATGACTATCCGGGTTACGTCCATTCGTGTAATAAAAGTCCCGAACGGACTGGCGTTCGCATGTCTGCGGTCGGCAGTTTCAGCGGTGTTCAGTAGATAAAGTGTCCGTTTTTAGTTCCATAGTTTGAGTGCCGAACATCGCTGTGCATTCGCGTGTTTAAAATGGCCGCCGCCTCGTGGTCGACATGGGAATGACGACCACCCTGCATACGGTTCTAATCAAGAGGTGTCTGCGGTTAACCACAACGTTCTAATTGAGGCCAATAGGTTAACCAGTAGCACACTTCTCCTCTGGGTGGCCGTCCGTTCGGTAGTTTTATTCGGTACATTCTGAAACAGACGAACAGGGGTGTACGGGCAGGTAATTCCACGAAAGTATAGCAATTAGGCGAACCAGCAGAAAGAACTTAGATGGATCTGTCACAACGGATTTTATTCGTTTTTTTTTTAATTTTTTACAAACACCTAATCTAGGCAAATAAAATCTGTCAGCACTGAAGTTGCTCTTTAGTGGATAGGTGTGTGCACTGGATCCTGTGTATTGTATAAATTGGCCCCCAGCAGCACCCCATTTATGCATGTTCAGGTGAGTGTAGCCTCCTGGTTTATATATATAGAAAAAGGTATCATTGCATACTGCAATACTCTGCTATTGTGGCATCTTGTCTACTGAACTAATATTGCATTCATGGGCGTTCGCAGGAATATTTCCGTGGGAAGGGGGGCATAATTGTAATGACATCGATGCTTGGCCCCTTTTTGACAGTGTCATGAAGGGGATGGGCATAGTCATTATCACATAAAGCCAGGGAGACCAGATTTTGGAAATAAAAAACCAGGACACCCATTGGGGTGGGGCAGGATACGTAAATAGCGTTTTCACAACTATGGTCTCAGGAATACATGTTTGTATACCTGACACTATAGTGTTCCTTTAAGCAAATTAAAGGAACATTCTGGTCACCATAACAACTTCATCTAAATGAAAATGCTATGATGCCAGGAAGCCCCTGGGTGCTCTCATTCCTATAAGGGGTTAATCCACTCTCAAATGGTTTAACCGCAAAGGCTTCCTCCTGCTCCAGGTCGCTCAGTGGTATTCGGCTTCTCAGACAGTGTCAGGAAGTGCAAATTGATGTCAGGCATGGGTGCTGCTGATTGGCTAGATGGTCAGCTGACGCTCTAAGCCTATTGCTAGTTCCCGGTTCATAAAAATGTTTAACTTATGAATGGGGAGCTACTGATTGGCTTAGAGTGCCAGCTGACCGCTCTAGCCAATCCGCGACACCCCTACCCAGCGGCATTCTGTGCTTCCTGACACTCAGTAAATAAAAGTGAACACATTAACACTGATATTTTTTTTTACCTGGGGAGATGAGAAGGTCCAAAGTTTTCCTGCCAGGTCCAGGGACCAAAGCCTTGTGAAGTGGTGTCCAGAATGAAGTGGAGGGTTCACTTCACTTGTCCTTCCTGCTCCAATCTCCCTTTCTTCTCCTTCATTTGAAACAGTCTTCTTTTTCTTCTGACACAGTCTTCTCTCCTCCTTGGCTCCTTCTGCTCCTTTACCTTTTGTGCCCTTCGGCTCCTTTCTCTTTCTGATCCCTTCCTCCTACTTTTGCTCCCTTCTGCTACTTGCAGACCCTTCCTGCTCATTTCTGATCCTTTCTGCTCCTTCTCCTACTTTACCTTTGTGCTCCTTCTGTCCTTTCCCACTCCTTGCTTCCCCTTCCTGCTCCTTGCTGACACTTCCTGCTACTTGCAGACCCTTCCTGCTCATTTCTGTTCCTTTCTGCTTCTTCTCCTACTTTACCTTAGTTCTCCTTCTGATTCTCTGTGCTTCTTCTATCCCTTCCTGCTCCTTGCAGACCCTTCCTGCTCCTTGCTGCCCTTTCTGCTCCTTGCTGCCCCTTCTCCTACTTTACTCTTGTGCAACTTCTGATTCTTTCTGCTCCTTTATCTTTGTGCTTCTTCTGTCCCTTCCTGCTACTGCTTCTTGCAGACCCATCCTGCTCCTTGCTGAACCTAGGGAAACCTCCAAGTGGCCGGTCCTTAGATGGCCACTGGAGGTGCCTCTTGGCTCAGTGCTGCACAGCAGGCAGCGGCGGCAGACCCACGTGGTGCTGGAAATAAGGTGAGTTTTATTAACTTTTAAGGGGACAGAGGGGGGGCAAGCCACCTTAATGGTGGGTTTTGCACTATTGGGTCAGGAATAAATGTTTGTGTTCCTGACCATACAGTGTTCCTTTAATGTCCCTTCTTACTCATTTCTGCTCCTTCTCCTTTCTGCTTTTTCTTCTACTTACCTTCCTGCTCATTTATGACCCTTCCTGTAAGCTGCCGCCATCCCTCACTTACCCGATCTGTAGGCTGTCCCCCCATCCCTCACTTACCTGATTTGTAGGCTGCCCCCTATCCCTCACTTACTTGATCTGTAGGCTGCAATCCATCCCTCACTTACCTGATCTGTAGGCTGCCCCCCCATCCCTCACTTACCTAATCTGTAGGCTGCCCCCCCTCAATCCCTCACTTACCTGATCTGTAGGCTATCTGTTAATTTGAATCTATTAATTGAGATAGCTCAATGAGCTAATGCATCATCAGTAGAATCTGTTCAACCCTCAAAATCCAGCAGGGTTGACTCAGCCCTCCATTCTTCTGTGGTAGATAGAATAAGTACCATTAATTGGGTAATAGTAACAACCCCTGGATGTTGGGAAGAAGTAACATCCCCAGGACGGACTTGGAAACCAGAGTAATCTGAATGTACCTTTCCTTATTTTGGGCAGACTAGATGGGCTGAATGGTTCTTATCTGCCGTCACATTCTATCTCCCCCCCAGCCCCATCCCTCACTTACCTGATCTGTAGGCTGCCCCCCATCCCTCACTTACCTGATCTGTAGGCTGCCCCCCATCCCTCACTTACCTGATCTGTAGGCTGTCTCTGGCTGCATGTGTTGTTCCCCTGCGGTTTCAATCAGCAGAGAGAAGCAGGGATAAGATGCAGCTTCCTATCCCTGTCTCTCTCCATACACCGGTATTGCACTGTATTCTGAATCTCAAAATAAAAATATCGGCATAAACTGAAAAATCCGGGGGTGGGGGTGGGGGGAGGCACTTGCAGACGCCCATGTATTGAGGATGATGTGTACTATGGTCACTGCTGCCCAGGAGTAGTGGGAGTTTGGGTTTTTAATGTAAACAATATCTATATATTTTGCAGCATTTGATCAAATAAGAAAAAGTAATTAATAGAAAGAAAAAGAGGGGGAGCCTTAAAAAAAATAATCTACCTGTATCTCTCTATATAATATACCGTATATCAATTAGATAAATATATTATAGAAATATAGATTTTTTTATTGATTCTCCTTTTGTCCCGGTGTTGGTCATTTCTCACCTAATCTGTGAATAAAATCAATGTTTAGTGACTGTCCCCTTACTATCACCATCTTTTTTCCACATAAAACACGGCACGGGGTGAAGTAGAGGCATTGCCTTGCTTACATTCTCAGTGAACTGTCCTCATTGGTTGAAGCTTCTCCTCTATAATCACACCCACGAGGTTCAGAATATACCAAAACAAAATATATATCACAGTCACCTAGTCATTTGGACGTAGCAGAATAAGTGCAGAGAGAAAAGCAATGAGACTAATGAGACGAGAATTACAAACTCTACAACATGCGCATTCAATTTCTAGAACAAATCAGGAAAAATATGTGATTTTTTTTTATACAAACAGACATTTCCATGAAAGTGAATCTGGACTGCACTGCTTCAGTGATATTAATGTAAATGTAATGATATCAAGTTCTGTTGGTGGTGATTCGGACATTGCTAATAATATTCCGCATTATAACGGTTAGCCGTAGAGTGTCCTGTCAGCAGTCTCTGCTACACTTTGTATTATTGACTGTTGTGTAATTGTGTGAGGAATACACGTAGTGACATTACAAGGTAACATTGGACGGTCTGGTCCTACAGACAGCCAGCAATATGCAGCTATCACCAGATCATTGTGTTCTCCCCGTCTAACACAGGCTCAATATTGTGCTCCATGATAGGCAATAACAATACCCCTTACTCCCCGGAGACATCGATATGATCTCCAGGCTCACAGAGTTCTCAAATTATCAATATTTCAAGTTGTAGTCAGGGCGGAGTTAACCCTTAGCATTACGCCGATCGCTGGGGACTAACAAAAGGCCATGTTTTCTATTATAGATTCATTTGCTAATAAAAACTGTGCAATTCAACACTTTTAATGAAAACATTCACGTAAGAAAATTGGCAAAATACACAAATATTACAGGCAAACGTCAGACATGTTATTCTTACATAAATGGAAAATAAATACTTATTGTATTTAGGAAATACACATAATATCTGTTAAATTGTCATAAAATTATGTAATGTCATTAAGTAACTAGGTACCTGTTACCTCAGTATTCTCCGTGTAATGACCATGAACACGATATGTACCTACCACATACTCATTACACGCTATGTACCTACCACATACCCATTACACGCTATGTACCTACCACATACTCATTACACGCTATGTACCTACCACATAACCATTACACGCTATGTACCTACCACATACTCATTACACGCTATGTACCTACCACATACTCATTACACGCTATGTACCTACCACATACTCATTACACGCTATGCACCTACCACATACCCATTACACGCTATGTACCTACCACATACCCATTACACGCTATGTACCTACCACATACCCATTACACACTATGTACCTACCACATACCCATTACACGCTATGTACCTACCACATACTCATTACACGCTATGTACCTACCACATACTCATTACACGCTATGTACCTACCACATACCCATTACACGCTATGCACCTACCACATACCCATTACACGCTATGCGCCTACCACATACCCATTACACGCTATGTACCTACCACATACCCATTACACGCTATGTACCTACCACATACCCATTACACACTATGTACCTACCACAAACCCATTACACGCTATGTACCTACCACATACCCATTACACACTATGTACCTACCACATACTCATTACACACTATGTACCTACCACATACCCATTACACACTATGTACCTACCACATACTCATTACACACTATGTACCTACCACATACTCATTACACGCTATGTACCTACCACATACCCATTACACGCTATGTACCTACCACATACCCATTACACGCTATGTACCTACCACATACTCATTACACACTATGTACCTACCACATACCCATTACACACTATGTACCTACCACATACCCATTACACGCTATGTACCTACCACATACCCATTACACGCTATGTACCTACCACATACCCATTACACACTATGTTTTCACCATTAGCGAACCATGTACTCATACATCATGTACCCAGACCAATACGATATGGAAGCATCCAACAAGCAAATCAATATCATTTGAAAAGAAAAACTTGAAGTTGTGGCGGAACCTACCACCAATTTCATGTTTTTTTCCCCCCTTTTCACATACTTTGCCCTTTTTCCGTTCGGGAGTTATTGCATTGGAACTATATCCATTCATCTCCAGAACAGGGACCACCCGTGTGCCCCATTAAAACATTCACACCAGCAGCTTATAACTGAATGCATGCGGTCAACAAAAGAATGGTGCTCATCTTGTCTCCCAAACGTGGACAGCGGCACTTGGTCGTCGAGTGCATGGAACTCCTTTTGGCTAGGCACTCACACGAACCCTGGTAAAGATTAGACCGCTGCCCGTTCCACTTCCGACCAATTATGCGAAATACCAAACAGGTATCCCTTGTATGGTGTTTGCATAGGAACCCCCTGAAGACCGGCCAGGGCACCTATTTCCCTGGAATTGTTTTGGGATACCGCCTCGTGTCCGGTCGGTTAAACTTTACCTCGATGGCATTCTCGTTTCACTGAACCAATCTGAGTGATATTTGGATATGTTATACACTCCGATCAGGTGATGTAACTTGTGGGGTTCCTAGTTATGTTGGGGGCACTTTCGGGGTACTGTATATTTTGTGTAGATTTTCTGTACCTGAGAGATAATTAATTACGTTTTTCTCATGCAATTATCTATCAGGCACAGAGGATCCTGGGAATGAAATCCCTGTATTCTTGTATTGGAAACCCCATGTAGGGGTCTATGCATAAAAGCCGTGTGGGGTATGGAATAAATCAGTTGACTCCCAGAACTGTGTGTAGTCCAGTTACTGGGGGAATACATGTCTGCTTATTTTAATGGTTCCAGAGTGAAGAAATTAGCGGAGGGTTACCCGTGGTCCGCTACAGAAGTCTTTGAAGGTCAGTATTTTCTATACTATAAAGCGGAATATTGGTCAAGTTCAGACTTAAGCCTCAATTTAATATTTTTCGATAAGTTTTGAAAAAATTATTTAATATTTTTTGATAAATGTTTACAATGTTAATATATTACAAAATGTATAATATATAAATATATCAATATGTAAAAAAACAGCAAAATATAAAAATGAACATATTTCCATTGTATTAAATCATATTAAAAGTTTATCCAAAATTATTAAAAGGCAATGTCATCACAATGCTAATAATCAACTGATAAATCTTTCAACTCGACATAAAGCAACTAATATGATGTTTAACTACATGCCCCATGATTCATCCAGCCTTTGTGCCCTGGACGTTGCCTGGTAAAACTAAGCAGAGTGTCACACTCACAGTCACACTCACAGTCACACTTACAGTCACACTCATAGTCACACTTACAGTCACACTCACAGTCACACTCAGTCACACTCACAGTCACACTTACAGTCACACTCACAGTCACACTTATAGTCACACTTACAGTCACACTCACAGTCACACTAATAGTCACACTCAGTCACACTCACAGTCACACTAATAGTCACATGCATAGTCACACTCATAGTCACACTCACAGTCACACTCACAGTTACACTCACAGTTACACTCACAGTCACATGCATAGTCACACTCAGTCACACTCATAGTAACACTCAGTAACACTCACAGTCACACTCATAGTCACACTCATAGTCACACTCACAGTCACACTCACAGTTACACTCACACACTATCCTGTAAGTTTATCCTGGTCTGTATATTGTGTAGTGGGAAAGAAATAAACTGTGACTCCATTGAATAAACGATTAATGCATTATAGTACTTAGTAAACCGTGACTATTTAGCAACCTGTGATATGAGTATAAATATATCTTCTTTATGGATGAATTTACATTGATAGATTATACTTCCCTAAATCTTTCATTTTTATTATCTAACAACTTTTCCTCAACATTTTTAAAGCATTAAATTGAAAAAAAGGGGATGGGGGTAGAATTTGCAGTAAAACATAACGGTAATATTGTGTGATATTGCATGGACTGTTTTTATGTCTTAATATTTCAAACTGTTCTTGTCAATATTGTGTCAGGATTCTCAGCTTTTGGTGATGTCACTGGGTAAAGCAACCGTGTTATTTTTAGGGAATTACCATCCATATATGTAACGCGTGTGAAATATTAATCAGCGTAACAGGCTATAGATATAGGTAAACATAATACACCTCGCCCCGGGACAGCACAGCAATCAAACAATGACAACGTGCTATTACTGCTAATTTCTATCAACTTTTCTTTTAATGGGGCCAGGGCTGTAACATGAGCTTTTCCCAGTGAAGAGAAGGGGGGGTCACCTCTGACAATCCTGCACCCAGCTCCAGACACCTCGGGGCTTGTGTTTTTACACCATTGTTTGTTAAAATGAGATGAATCTTTTAAAGTATCTTTTCACAAACGCGTGCAGAGGGAAATCTCTGAGAGTATCGGTGACACCACTTCGAAATGACACCGAGTTAAAGGGGAGGGGGGTGTCCGCTAAGGGCTTATATTGTCACATTGACATTAGCAGATGGGTGATCACTGCACAAGTGCTAGCTGCAAGGCAGATGGCGGAGAGTGCCCTGGGGAGACATGAGGCCTCCCTCACTCCCAAACATGTATCTGGTGAATTGGGTGCTGGAAACAGGATCTCCGAGGACCTCGATGAAGAGCCTACGGATATGGGTGTCTGTGATACGGCACGTGTGGGGTCAAGTTATTACCAATTGTTTTAGTTCTTTTCTTTTGCCACGTGTCACTAGACCTGGGTGTTAATAGCGTGTAACATTGGAAAAGTGTGCCACAAGCCATGAAAGTTGTCCTAGCCATTTAAACATTTATACCCCCGGCTCATGTTCCGCCGTCTGGATGACAGTCCTCCGGCGGGATGCCCGCTGAACCCACGTGTGGGTTAATAGGAGCTAAACTACAGATCAGGCCACAGTCTATACCAGCCTCGCACTGCAGGGGATGCAGGAGGTCTATTTGTGAATTGTTCAGACAGGTACAATGCATATTATCACTGTCTGTCACAGGTAGGGAGTTCTGGGACTTAGAATAAAAGGACTGATTGCTACTACTATGCAATGGTCCGAACGCATACTAAACAGAAATAAGAGTATAAATAAATGGACCCTATAGGAATAAATACCTAGTGAAAGAACAGAACCATCGAAACCTATATTTATTTAAAAGTGAATCAACTGTTAGCGATAAAAGAAATGTGCACAAATTAAGTATATTCAATAAAATAAGCACTAATTCCATAACGTGCTGAAATAAAGAAACTCAGACTTTAATAACCTTTAGTAGACAAATGAAATCACTGGGAGGCTTTGATGGGGGACACAACATGAGCCTATTTAATTAGACGGCCAATCAGGCAGCAGAACTGCTTATTTTCCTGCTTTGATTTTTCTGTAGGTGCCAAATGTTTTTTTTAATAAAAAGTAACACAGGTTTATTCCCTAATTCCCCACCCTGTCAGTCACGTCAGGAAGAGAAGTAGAAGGAAAAGTTCTGACATATGACTTTCATTAATCGTTCAAAGAACATGATCTCATTTTATCTCATGGATTTGAATGGCGAAATACTGAGGGTGTGCATGTGTGATGTCATCCAGATCATCATGCGATAAAGAGATAGCAGATATTTCCTGGTTAGAGAAGAAATCAAATTCATGAATTTATTATTGCTATAATCATCACGGTATGATGCATAAAAGGAAAACAGCAAATTCACCATGGAACGTCTATTCTGTGAATTGGGGGCTTTTTAGCCATAACTGAGGTGGTAAAATACTGTAATGAACAAACCTGTCTTATCGGTCCACAGATGAGTGACAAAGCCACTGGACATATCTCGAATATTATTTATTTATTTATAAAATATTTTACCAGGAAAGATACATTGAGATTTCTCTTGTTTTCAAGTATGTCCTGGGTCCACAAATCATTGCACTGATACATTATAGTACAATAAAATACAAAAACAATATTAATACACAATAAATACAAAATTTAACATAGAACAGGTAGGAAATATATAATCAACCATGACACGTGCATTCTGTTTTGAGGTATGTAGAGAGTCTTAAAGGACTTTAGGCTTAGGGAAGATTTGAAAGTGTGCGGGAGGTCGTTCCACAATTGCGGTGCTCTGTAGGAGAAGGAGGATCGGGCTGCTTTATTTTTGTATTGAGGTAGACTAAATAAAGTGCTGGTACTGGATCGGAGGTTATAGGAGGTGGGAACAGCCAAGGAGAGCATTTTGCTCAGGTAGGGTGGGAGTTTCCCAGAAAAGCTCTTAAACACAAGGCTGGAAAGATGAAGGGTGCGTCTGGATTCCAGCAACAGCCAGTTTAGTTCTTTTAGCATGTCACAATGGTGGGTCCTGTAATTACATTGTAGCACAAAGTGGCAGAACGAGTTATACAATGTGTTGAGTTTATTAATGTGGGATTGCGGTGCGGGTGCACATACTACGTTCCCATAATCAATGATTGGCATCAGCATTTGCTGTACAATCTTTTCCTTTACTGTAGGGCTTAGGCGGGATTTGTTTCTGTACAGGGCACCTACTTTTGGATAAAGTTTAGATGCAAGTCTTTCTATGTGCAGGCCAAAAGATAGATTGTGGTCTAACCATATACCCAAATATTTGAAAGAGTGGACTGCGGTCAGTGTGCTATTTGATTTTGTTTTGATTGATAGCTGGGAATTATGTAATATGTGTAATTTAGGTACTGTTCCAAAGATCATTGTGATAGTTTTGTCAGTATTTAGGAAGAGTTTGTTTTTTACGATCACCTTTTCTGCCTCTGTAAACTGTTCTTGGGGCACAGCTTCAAGCTGCGGTAGATTGGATTTGCTCGCATAGATTACTGTGCCACCTGCGTACATGTGTACATTTGAGGATTTTCAGACATTGAGCAGATCATTTATAAATAATGTGAATAGTAGGGGGCTGAGAATGGAACCCTGGGGAACACCACATGTGACTGGGAGAGGGAGGGAGTCACTGTCAGAAATGGACACATATTGTGAGCGATCCGATACATATAATCGAAACCAGGTTAGCGAACAATCACCAATACCTGAGTTTTTGAGTTTGTGCAGTAGAATGCCGTGGTCTACTGTGTCAAAGGCCTTTGCAAAATCAAAGAAAATAGCTCCAGTAAGGTTTCCTTGTTCCATGCCAGTTTGGATGTCATTGCAAACTTTTAAAAGGATAGTTGTAGTGGAGTGATTCGGTCAAAGACCCGATTGATCAGGGGTCAGATAGTTTGATTGTTGGTAATACTCACATAGTTGCGTATGGACACAATACTGTGTTACTGTCTCCAAAAACTCTGAAAGGTCTGGACAAACCAGAACCGACATAAACCATGCCTGAACTAACTGTCTACCCTGAGGCGATTCAGTGCGGAGCCAAACCTAATACCATATATTAAAAAACAAACAAAACAAGTGATTTAAGATATAGTAATATTGAGTATACACAGTTTAGCTGCACTACCCCAAAGCGACATAAAGGTGACACGCAATTATAAAAAAATACCAAATAATGTAGCATGCTTAAATTGAAAGGATTGTGACTCCTTCAGGTGATAGCATAATATGGAATTGATAACATAGACGTACATAGTGCAGACTATCTAAATAAAAGCATTCAATATTTAGGGGGATCTGGGAGAGAACTCCCATGTAGCAGAGCCCTATCAACCCTGGCACTGTGTTTGAAATGCTCCACTTTAGAGCGATAACTCCCACAGCAGGATATCAGGATAGATGTCTCCACACAGCGTGTTCAGTCAGTTGAATATGAAGGTTCTTTGTAGTATAGAAAAAAAAATGGAATAGTATGTCAGACTATTTATTGACGTAAACGGTTAACAACTCTTACTTTCGTATTGGTTGGTATGCCAGCAAACTACCCACAACTGAGCAAATGTGTATAGAATACAACGCCACTGTATAACAGGCACTTCCAGGTTTCGCCGATTCCCGAGCACTTGGCACTTGTGGGTCCGCCTCTGCAATTTGTGACCTCTCTCCCTGGATAATGACTCCCCAATGACGCTGCCGGACTTGGACTTATACCTCCAGCAGCAAAGGGGTTAATCTCAGTGTGAGCAGCGTTTCATAACATAAAGCTGCACGTACAGACTCCAGCTCACTGAAGTGGTTTTGGTGCTTGGAGTATTCCACATAGCATGTGTTCTTTAAAGGGCATTGCAGGTACCTAATGCAACCCAGAACATGTCTCATATATTCCGTAGAAAAGATGGCTGCTATCCGATATAATCCAGCTGTACATAGATATTTTATACAGAGAATCACCTCAGATCACCAGCGCGAGGCAGCCGCCTGTCTCCGAAAAATCCAGAGTTTCTTCCATAATGAACAAGATATGTTAGAGACAAATGAACAATAAACAAATGACTCAGTGGCATTCTAATATGTATTCCATAACGCAACGTCTGAATTATCTCTGGAGGCGAAAGCAATACATTGCTCTGCATTAGATCCCTCTGGCATTCAAACATTTAGCAGGTTTTACAGATAATACAAACTAATATATGCAGCGGCCGGCGTGACTCTGACAGGTGTCTCCTCAAACCTAGACTCGTCCTCCGTTTTATTAACTCCCAGCAATGCTGCAGGTTTGATCCCTTAACAAAGAATACACTTCAGGAAAGTTATCCAGTGAATATTATTGGCAAAGGTCAAGCAAGAGGGACCACCTGTGCGAAAACTTGCAAACTAGATTAGGTTTCTGTCCGCACAGGCGATCTGTTACCACCAAGATACAACCATCCAGCCTTATGTAGGAGGACATTCTTTGTTTAATGCAGAGATCTGATTCGAAAGGTTTGACCTAGAACCAAACACAAAGCATTCTTTTTATTTAATGGGGTACCCAACTGTGAGATTGGATCTCTTCTTAGTCACCATCAACAGCAATAGCAAGTGACCTGCAAAACTTAGACAAAAAAGCTAAACTAGAAAAATATATACTTCTGCCTAACTGCAGATTGTTTTCTGACTTTTTAACTTTAACATTTTACACTTTTTAATTCACTAACACAGTTATCCACTAACACAGGTATCCACTAACACAGTTATTCACTAACACAGTTATTCACTGACACAGTTATTCACTAACACAGTTATCCACTAACACAGGTATCCACTGACACAGGTATCCACTAACACAGGTATCCACTAACACAGTTATTCACTAACACAGTTATCCACTAACACAGTTATTCACTAACACAGTTATCCACTAACACAGTTATTCACTAACATAGTTATCCACTAACACAGTTATCCACTAACAGGGTTATCCACTAACACAGTTATCCACTGACACAGGTATCCACTAACACAGGTATCCACTAACACAGTTATCCACTGACACAGGTATCCACTAACACAGGTATCCACTAACAGAGTTATTCACTAACACAGTTATCCACTAACACAGTTATCCATTGACACAGGTATCCACTAACACGGTTATCCACTAACAGGGTTATCCACTAACAGAGTTATCCACTAACACAGTTATTCACTAAAGTGTAAAGTGTTGGAAGTCCAATTTTAAATTTAAAAGGATGCTATAGGCACCAGAACAACTTCAGCTTAATGTAGCAGTATTGGTGTATAGATCATGCCCATGCAGTTTTACTTCTCACTTCTCTGTCATTTAGGAGCTAAATCATTTTGATGCAGGGGGGCGGAGCCTGACGGGCAGACTGAGCAGGCACACGTTCGGGGAACTACTTAGCAAAATCTGCCTATTCAGTGTTTTATACTTGCCATCACCAGCTATCTCTGCAAAACACGACTTCCCGCATAGAGGGGGTCCTGGTGAATCACTTAATACCAAATTCTGCTGTTCAAAACCAGTAAACCCACACTATATCTTGTTTGCGACCTACAAGCCTGGCTGCGTGAGAGAGACAGCCACTCTCCTGACGCTGCTTCCTGCTACTCTGAGCAGATTTTGGACCATTGGACCGGTGGGGGTTATCATGGTCCTATGAGACCATCCACCACTACTCCTACTACACAGAGCTGCTGTGTGCGATGGTGTTACATGGCCTCTAAAGTGGCAACTCATACAGCCAGAGGCTCAGACAGCAACTATGCTGTTTAAGCTGTACCTCAGATTTTCTAAATTCTGGGCTACTTTCGAGGCGAGGCAGGAGTGTGACCTGACAGCCCAACTGCATGCCTCAGTTGCTCCAGTAGACACCACCTACCTGTAATGGTCCATATCACCTTTGAGGCCTACTACAGACACTCCTGCAAATGCAGCCTACCTGCATAGGTCCACTTCAGTTTCGGGGCCTACTGTCGGTTCCGAGAGCTCGTCTTCCTACACAGAGGAAGCTGAAACACAGCGATGCTATTAAGCACTCGGGGCCTAGAGAGGCTAAAGCAGGGCCTGCAGCAGGGGCTTGGAGTTTTGGGTCTCTGGATCTCTTGATCCCTTTGGATGGTGGCTACTGTACAAGAGAAGATTAAAAGCAATGGCAAGCAAGCTTCTTACCAGTGCTTACGCTCATTGCTTACACCCACATGAGGAACTTTCTTCCAAGAGCACAGCTGCTCACTCACAAGTCGGGAATCGGGTGAAGGTACTTGACACATGCAGAAACCAACATTGTGATAAACCCCCCTATTCCTGGATTATCATCCTGTTAATTGTTGCTTATTTTTTAAACCGGGTAGTTCTGTATATGGAATTCACCAAACACCTGAGACTCTAGTTCATATACCGAACAAACTACCGAACAGCCAGACCACCCAAGGGAGGCGTGTGCTGCTCATTGACCCTTTTCACCCTTGTTCACACCTCGGTAACCGCAATTAGCTAAATTTTCTGAGCGGTTGGCTCACTGGCCGTTAATATGGCCGAACATGTGGCAGCAGCCATCTTTAGCCGTGAATGCATACAGCTGTGTCTAGTTTATATCACCTCTAAAACTTCCACTTCCATCGAAGTTCGGTAAAACATGTGAGAATTGAATGGTGTTCGGTGGGAGCAAGTGCCCGAACAAGGGATAGAGACTGAGCTTACCCACGAACCGTTATGTTTGGTACTTTTTATTGTATTTAGTACTCCCCAAAGAGACTGACCGCACAGCCTGATTTCTTGAAACTCTTTTGGGCAGGAGCCTCATGTGCAGTTGATCAAACCATGACTTCCATGGAAATCCCAAACCCCTGAACCGATCTGGGTGATTTTTAGATATGTTGGTCCCCCAGATTGGGGCTATCAGTGGATATGACTTTTGTGTGGTTTCCATGGGTTTCAGGGGTATTTTCAAAATATTGTAAGATTTATGTTTTCTGTGCCTGGAGTTTAGTACTGTGATTGACTCAATTATCTCTTGGACACAGATTATCTTGTTTTATGTGGGAGTATCCTGGACCCGAGAGCCAATGTAAATACAGTATGTACTTGTGACGGTTCATCCTGTTCTGGAATTACAATCCCTTTATTTAATTCGCCTATTTGTTCAGGACATTTCATTCCCCTTCGTTTTGTATTTTATTCCATTCCCCTATCGAATGAACTACCGAACAACCGGACAACCCGTTTGAGGAGTGTGCCACTCATTAACTCCTGTCACCTCATCAACACTCCTAAGCCGCAAGCGTTCTAAGCTGTCAGTTGGGTGGTCGCCATCTTGAGCAGCGAACACAAAGAGCGGTGTCTGGTCGTCAAGTGCATGGAACCCAAATTGGACACTCAACGGTGTGAACACCGCTGGGACTTTCATCTCTACATATGTTTCGGCTGGATTCATATGGGAATAGTGGCGTACGATGGGAGCAAGCTCCTGAACGAGAGACATAGGCTGAACCTATCCACGAACCGCTATGTTTGGTATTTTGACTGTATTAAGTAATCCCGAAAGAGACCAACCGCACAGCCTGAATTCATGGAACTCTTTTGGGCAGGAGCCTCATGTGCGGTCGGTCAAAATATGACTTCCATGGAAATCCTGAACCCCTGAACTGATCTGGGTAATTTTTACATATGTTGGTCACCCAGATTGGGCCTATCAGGGTATGTAGGGGGGTTCCATGGGTTTTAGGGGTACTTTAGGGGTAATGCTGAAATGTGTACGGTTCCTGATCCAATTATCTCCAAGGCACAGGGGAGGGATTGTCTTATTTTGTATGGGAGTGTCCTGGACCTGAGAGCCAATGTAATCGCATGTATGTTTTTACATAGTTACATAGTTACATAGCTGAAAAGAGACTTGCGTACATCAAGTTCAGCCTTCCTCACATTTGTTTTTTGCGGTTGATGCAAAAGAAGGCAAAAAAAAAACAGTTTGAAGCATAATTTTGCAACAAGCTAGGAAAAAAATTCATTCTTGACCCCAGAATGGCAGTCAGATTTATCCTTGGATCAAGCAGTTATTACCCTACATTGAAAGATTATATCCTTGAATATTCTGTTTTTGCAAGTATGCATCTAGGAGCTGTTTGAACATCTGTATGGACTCTAATAAAACCACTTCTTCAGGCAGAGAATTCCACATCCGGATTGTTCTTACAGTAAAAAAACCTTTCCTTTGCCTTAGACGAAATCTTCTTTCTTCCAGTCTAAACGCATGGCCTCGTGTCTTATGTAAAGTCCGGTTTGTGAATAGATTTCCACACAATGGTTTGGATTGGCCCCAAATATATTTGTATAATGTTATCATATCCCATCTCAGGTGACATTTTTCTAAACTAAATAGGTTTAAATTTGTTAGCCTTTCTTCATATGTTCCATTCCTTTTATTAATTTTGTAGCCCGCCTCTGCACTTTTTCTAGTGCCATAATATCCTTCTTTAGCACAGTTGCCCAAAATTGCACAGCATATTCAATATGTGGTCTTACCAGTGATTTATAAAGAGGCAAAATTATATTCTTGTCCCGAGAATGAATGCCCTTTTTCATGTATGACAATACCTTACTGGCCTTGGCCACTGCTGATTGACATTGCATATTGTTGCATAGTTTGTTGTCTATAATAATTCCCAAGTCCTTTTCAAGTGTTGTTATCCCTAATTCGCTTCCATTAAGGGTATACGTTGCTTGTGTATTCTTTATTCCGAAGTGCATAACTTTGCATTTTTCAACATTAAATTTCATCTGCCATTTGAGTGCCCAGACCCCCAGTCTATCCAAATCCCTCTGCAGCAAAGTAATATCTTGCTCACATTGTATTGTTTTACAAAGTTTTGTGTCATCTGCAAACACTGAAACATGACTTTCAATGTTGTAGTCTACTCTCCAGGGGGGAGTTCCCCTTGCATGGGGACTTGCATAAAAGGCCAGTTTTGGCTACCAATAAACCAGTTGTCCCACAGCACAGAGCCTCATTTCATGTTTGTGGGAGAAAGCTATAACAGCTGACTCCCTTCTGCTTGGAGTGCTTAATCACTAGCATTACAGCATCCCTCCCACTAGGGGGAAAAAGAACATCTCTGGCGGAGGAAGCCCTCTTCCCATCGGGAAGACTTTGTCATAGTCTACTCTCAGGTCCAGTGGGGAATACCCCGGGAATATGTTAAGTTTAACCCCTTGCATGGGGACCTGCATATAAGGCCAGTTGTGGCTACCAATAAACCAGTTCCTGCTTAGCCTTAAGATAGAGTCTCACCTCATGTTTGTAGGGACCAGCTAAACCAGCTATAATCCCTGCTCTTGGGATTGTTCTTTGGATTGCTATAATCACTAGCTCTTGTAAGAGCTTCACTGCTATACCGTGCTTGGATTATCATGCTAGCATCACTCTGAATAGGGGAAAGAACATTCTTGGCGGTGAGACCCCTCTTCCTCTCGGGGTGGCCGCCACAAACATAAGCTGCATTGCGGTCTGTCTACGATGTGATGGAATTCTGCAAATTATTCCCTCTTTATTTACTCTGGATATTATGGTTTACCTATTATTTATTTATTTATGTTAAATCATCAGTGCCATTTGCTATGTGTTTATTTCTTTATCTTGCTCTCTCAACCTCGCACTGTGTTCCTCTTGACTAGCTATGTACTAAAAATGTGCTGATTTGCTATGCACACATTTACTGATGGAACTGTTTCTCTCTTATGCTGAATATCTCATGTGCGTAAGTAGAGGGTATTGTGTATTAGCTATAACTAGAAACTCTTCCGCTGATCCCCAGTTACCTTTACTTACCCAAAATAACCAAACCACAGTAAAAAATAGGCCAAATATTATATATATATATATCTTAAACATGAACTTTATAACATATTACAGCAACATATAACTTACTCAGTAAATAAGTAACGTCACTGAGCACCACCCTGCCAACCAAACACAATCACTTGGGTAATTGCCCTTCCCCCTCATCCCAACTAACATAAAGGCCTTTCTTGGGCCTTCCATTCTCATAATGCTAACCACTAGCTGATCATTGGCTCAGTGGGCACGTCCGTTATCCATACCTGTACTTGAAGTTAGGGGAGGGATCAGCCCCAACCATATATCTTTCCACAGACTGCTGTTCTAACCCCTGATTGGCAAGGGCCATTTACCACCACAAACACCGCTAGTTTACCCCCTAAATCATTGGGGCAGCCCCAACACCAAATCCATGGCCACCTCAAAAACATCCTGTAACTCCAGGTTAAACAAATCCAGGCCTATCTCCTTAAGGTGGACCCCATCACTCCTGAAATGCATAGCAACATTCTGCTCAAAGATGCGATGATGCACCGTGAGCCCCCCCCATACCTTTGACAAATTTAGACACCCTTTTGTTGAGCTTAATCCTACTCTGCTCAAGTTTCCCTTGCACCCCGCCAATAGTTTTGGGACAGCACCTCCGACCACACAATACAATGTTTCGGCATAAGCCATAATTGTACCAAATCCTTCTGGATTGTTTCACTCAGATCCTACACCAGAATAGTGCCAAGATTGTTACCCCCAGATGAATTATGAGAACAACAGGAATGCCGAGTAGGCGGGCCAACCGTTCTATTTTAGGCAGAAAGTGAGCCCAGTGCATGCCCCACGCTGCTGTGCCCAATACACGTAAGAATGGCCGATTACCCACACTAGCCTTCCAGGACCTATGGAGATAAAAAGGGGAAAGGAATCAGTCCGGCTGGATGAACATAAGAACAGAACCTTTTAGATTCTCACCTCCCAATCTGCCAGATAACCTATTCAGAAAACCCCTGGCATTACGCCTCAGTGACATCCCCAATCCAGAAGGAGTGCCCTCCAAATTCATGGCCCAGGGCCTCCAATGCCATACCGAAGACCTGGATAAACTGAAAATTTTACAGAAAACTGGAATTACGGTGAACCAGCAGCTGGCCAGTGGACACGGTGCGAACCCTGCAGAGTGCCCGAAAACACTCGACCGGACAAATCACTGAACCAGGGATCTGCTGCAACGAGACCCAAGTACCCCGGCCAAGAACATCTGTCTTGGACTTACGCAGCAAGAAACGTACAGACCCATCCACACTAAACACGTCACCAAACAATAACCCCCCAGGGACCTTGTTGGGGCTAACAAGCTCCCCCACCTGCATGGCCCCGAAAAAGGCGAACGCAAATGCTAAATGAAACAGTGCTACTTCAAAATCAGAAGAACAAATTAGTGGCAGAACACAAAACAGGTCCACCATCAGAGCACAGAGACAGGCCTCCGTGAATCCGAAACCCCGGCCCGCTTCGCTAAACCCTCATCACTAATGATACTAAAACATCTTTCGTAAGATCCGGAGTTTGAACTAAAAGCTTAGCCCAGATAACTTACCAGACACAGCAGAAGGGGAGCATCCAGATGCTTCCCAAAACTACAACAGTTGTAACAAGCCTTGCAGATGCTCCGTATAGGACCAGAAACCTCCGGCACCACCGCCCTGAACTCCTGCCACTGTAAATGAGAAAGGGCATCTGCTAACATTATCAACACCAGGGACATGCACAGCCCAACAATACACATTCAAAATCATGTAGCACAGGTCCAGGCGCCGAAGCAGTCAGACCACCGGAGGTGAAGATGCAGATAAATTGTTAATAGCCAACACAACCCCCATATTGTCACAGTGGAAGACCACCCTCTGATCCTGTAGGAGGTCCCCTCCAGAGCTCCAACGCGACCACAATAGGGAAGCGTTCCAAAAAGGCCAAGTTTCTCGTTAAACCCGTGGAATGCCATGACTCTGGCCAGGTATCTCCACACCAAAAGATGACCCAAAACCCCACCGCACCAGTCGCATCCGTAAAGCCCTAAACCTCCACCCACCCTTCTTAAGACCACCTTACTATTTATTTCTATGCACTCCCCTCACTCTCACATGTCCCTGTTCTGTCTAGGGGCTTGCCTGACTCCTCAGGATTCTATCTGTGCTAATACTCTTGATATAAACATGTACATCAAAAATAAAGAGAAATAATTGTCAAATTGAAAAATAAAAAGGTATAATAATAAAAAAATAACTTACTAATACCAAGCGTCTACATCAGCCCCATGTTAGCAGAATTTACACACGAGTAACTAATGTTGACAAAAGGGAGATTGATATAACTGCAAAGAGGACCTGTTCAGAAGTTTTCAGGTTACCTCTAAAGTATGTCACTTGCAACAAAACAAAGTTGCAATTAAGACAATGTCCTAAAAAATAAAAGATACCACTCACAATATAATTGTTGAATGAAAAAAGTAACAAACCCAGTGTTATAGTTGAATGAATTATTGTTGCTAGTGATACAATGATTGCTGGTAACTGGTTATGCTCCTAAATAACGGTGTCTGAATTATTGGAGTAACTGGCACAAACTGTTAGACACATAAGGAGCGGATTCATACAGGGTAATACTAAAATGTCCAAATTATCTAATAACTCATAATAAATGCTATCCTGAGTGCAGTCATATGCGTCTGCTCCGGTCCTAACAGGAATAATGCTTGGGATTCATGTAGGAGTGTGGTGGTATCTAATACACAGACCACACACAAAGTTGTTGCGATGAATCACCAGGGTCCCCTGACGCGCGCGTTTCGCCCACAATTCATCAGAGGGGAGAAATTCTGCTAACATGGGGCTGATGT